TAATCTTCTCTTCTGACAAACTAAAAGAACAGGCACATTCAGTCAAAAACAATTTATTACTCCGATTTGCTCCGTTTATCAACAGATTTTCGTTATCTCCTTCTAGAGCTAAGAAATAGAAAAAGCTACTGACAATCTAATTAATCCTGTCAAATGTTTAACTTGAAAACTTCCTTTTTTGACCGCCTAAACGCTATGCGCATCTGGGATGCGCGGTGACAAAATAAACTTGTCTACGAAATGCCCTATTCCACAAGCCCTCTCACAAATGGTCCTAAAAAGTCATTCTATTTAGTTAATGAAGTTTATTTACCTTTACTGCCTACCTCCATTGCTTTTGAATATAAATACAAAATATTATAACAAATTTTAGAAATTAAATGAGAATTTCACTCGAACTTCCAATATTTGCTTGATTTGAGTTGAAAACCAGCCTTCTCGCGCTGGTTAGTTTGGTCACAGTTATAACCGAATTTTTCCAGAACCGTGTTCCGTAATAAGAAAACTTTCAAGGAACCGATAGAAACGGAACATAAAACCATTACCAAGGTAAGCAACGGAATACACCCTAAGACAGTAATAAAGAATTCATATGGATGCGGACCTATATCACTCTATAAGTATTACAGTTTCGTTAAAAATGCAATTCTATTTTTACTAATGAGCAAAAAAAACTCAGTTGGAAATTACATTTGATACCGTATCAAATACTATTTGAAAAACGTGAACTTTCTGGCGACTAAACGCCGCCACTTTATAGCCAAACTCATCAGAATCCATCAAACGGCGATAGCTTTATCTGGCGCTACTTCCGCTAGCCGAGTCGATAACTTATTTAGCGGATAACGAGACCGCAAACTGCGCCACCTCGTGGATTTATCCGCTTCCCTAATTGCCAGCCCTCCAATTTACCCGATAATTGAGACGCTTAGACTAATATTTGATCGATTGAGCAAGTCAAACTGGATCGCCTGACGCTTTCGATTAAACTTAATGGTGTTCCTTAAATAAAGTAAAAGATTCATTAACATACACTAAAAAAAGTTTAATTGTAGATAGTTTTAATTCTGTCATTCAATATATTGATTAATTAAAAAATTTAAAGTGAAAAATCAATATATATAGGGTGTCCCAGTATTCCGTGGACATAGAGCTACTACGTATTTTTGGAATCAAAATAAGATCATAGGACATAATTTACTGCTATACAAGTGCTGCGTTTGTCCGCTAGACAGCATCAAACTTGAAAAAAATTAACACATTTTTTCAGATATTTTAAGAACCATTATTCCGATTTAAGATTTTGAATATCTATGTTTTGTTAATTGCACTAACACAATACTTACTAAAATCAAGAAAAAGTAGGGGAAGGGCCAAAACTACAACCACTCCTACATAAATTTTAGTATAAATATTTTCCAAGTACTCGACCACAAATTTTCTTTTCGTAATAGGGTCCCTCTAGTATTTACTACATTTTTTGTCTCTTATTACATATTTGTCTCTTAAAAAAACGCCACATCGAATAGTTTTTGAGAAAAATATTTTTGGAGAATTTATTTTTCCAAAGCAGACCTATAAAATATATAGCGACATTATTATTTTTTTTTTATATTTATATAGCGACATATTCCGTAGACATAGAACAACTACGTGTTTTTTGTATCAAATTAAGTTAATTGCACATAATTTACCTTTATATAAAAGTGCTTCGTTTGTCCGTTGGAGGGCAACAATCAAAAATAAACCCGAACGTTAATTAATTTAAAAATTATTAACTTTTTTGCTTTTTATGAAGCAGATTGTCAAATATAATTTGTGATATTAACGTAAAATGTTGCGATACCCATTGTTACAGAGACTAAAAATCTTTGAGTCTATTTTGATGCGAAGCTTTCTTTTCAGGCACATATAACTAGTAAATTAAAGGCTGCTTATATACGGTTGTAGAATTTTTCGTCTCTTAAGAAATATATACCATCAAAGACTAAATATCAATTATGTGACACACTTATTTTATATTTATTTGATTACGGCGATGTTGTTTATGGTACATCCATAAACGCTAGATTCTCTAGAAAAATCCAAATACTTCAAAATTCGTGTCTACGGTTTTCTTTTAACATTCCTTTTAGAGATCATATAACGCCACATCTTAAAAATTTATATATTTTATCCATGGCTAACAGACGACAATTTCATTTAATGACATTCATTTATCGAATTTTAACTACAGAGCAGCCTCCCTATTTGTTCTCATTGTTTCACTACGTTGACCATGATCATTCGACTAGACAAGTGCATTATTTTAAAATTCCTCAACACCGAACAGCTAACTTCCAAAAATCTTTCAGTTTCATAGCGCCACATTTGTGGAATAATATTTCTAATAACTTTAAATTTCAATCCTTATTACAGATGATAAAAACAAATTAAAAATCATTTACTAAATTCGTAAATATTATAATTTCTCCGACTGATTTGTGAGATCTTGTTCTTCTGATATGCCCGTCATTGGTTGCTGTTCCGGTTTTTACACTGTTTCATTTTTTATGCCTCTCTGCTTATCTCCGCTCATCCCTGATAAAATTATATTTTCACTTTTTTATATAATTTTAATTTTTTTAATTCTGTTTATTTTTATAATTTAATTTATTTCTATTTTGTATTTGGGGTCGCACCACTCTGGCACTTTGTGCCATTGTATCGGTTTTATAATCGCGGTGCGATCCCTTTAGACACACATTTATTAATACTAATATTATTCTGTAAAACTTAATGCAGAAAATATCTGCAAAGGTGCTAAAGAAGCTTTAGGAACACGTACTGTATCACACAATAGAAGACCGAACATTAAACCTTGGTTTACATTAGAAGTCAAGAACATTACAAGGGAAAAGAAGGGAAAATACTTACAATACAAGAAATCTCCAACACCGGAGAACCGAAATATCTATACCGAAATAAGGAGCAGGACTAATAATAGAGTACGAGAAATTATAGAAGAATATTGGCAGCGATTTAGTAGCGGTATGCTGCAGCAATATCAGGACATCTTAAATATCCCATATGGAAAAACAAACATTTGAGTACAGAATGTAAGTCAAGCATATACAAAACCTGCATACGACCAGTGATGACATATGGTGCGGAAACCAGAGCTGAAACATCAGTAACAAAGAGAATCCTACGAACTACTGAAATGAAGACCTTAAGAATGATAACTGGATACACATTGAGGGACAGACAGAGAAATGTAGACATAAGAGAAAAGTGCCAAACAAACGACGTTGTCAGATGGATAAGGCAGAGAAGAAGAGAATGGAACCAGCATGTCAATAGAATGGGCCCCGACAGAATGGCCATAATAATTCGCAACAACGTACCCCATGGCAGAAGACCTACTGGACGACCACCTAAACGTTGACAGTTGGCAGTCAACCTCGCAAGAGTTGCTTAGACGAGGAGGAAACCGGAACTAAACAGGCGATACGCCTTCTAAAAGAAGAAGAAGAAGAAGAAGAAAACTTAATGGGGTCTAATAAAGAAATTTGAATTTGAATTTGAATTTGAAAATACCGTCTCCATAGTTTGATGTGACAAAAATCATATTTTGAAAGTTAGTTTTTGAAAAATATTTTTTTCCTCAAAACGTATGCGGGGTAGCGTTTTTTTACAAGAGACAGAAAATGTAGTAAATACAAGAACGACCGTTTTACGAAAAAAAAAAATCGGTCGTCGGTTGGGTTGAAAAATATTTATATTAAAATGTATGTAGGGGTGGGGGTAGTTTTTACCTATCCGTACTTTTTCTTGATATTTGTGAAAGTCAAATGTTAAAGCACTTAGCAAAACATAGACACCCAAAATCTCATTCGAGTCGGAATAACGGTTCTTAAAATATCTACATAAATGTATGTATTTTGTTAAACCTTGATGCCCTCTAACGGACAAGCGAAGCATTTTTGCATAGAGGTAAATTGTGTCTAATGAGCTTATTTTGATTCCAAAAATACATAGAAGTTCTATGTCCACGGAATATTGGGACACCCTGTATATTAAAGGAATGATAATTAATTTATAGAATAATTTAAAATTTCTCCAGAAAGACTGTGAGAGATTTCACGAGAGGTTCAAATCACTGGATTGGAAGTTTAAAATTAAATATCTAAGGATTTTTCCTGGATAGAAATTTGAAATGGATAAACATGCCGGTTGCATCGCCTGTTCCACTGCGACCTTTCCAGATCTACTGAGATATTCTTCTGATCTCTAAGTTACATTCTCCAATCCTACGTATCCTGTTCAGCAAGTCTTAATAACTTTGAAACTGAATCCTGACAAAATCTGCACATGTCTTTGTCCTCCAATTTACGAGCCTGCGATATCCTGTTATAATTAGGATGTAATAGTCGATAGGATGATATAGTCGATATAGATATCCTGCTATAGTCGAAGATCCGCCTGCAGGATTATTACGCTCATCGTATTTTTAATCAAAACCTAATTTTTACGTATATTTATGAATAGGAGAATTCACTTTTAACAGGGTGCCTATTAAAAAGTTGCTGCCACTATGTTTAATTAATTAATAATTATAACTGATTTTGGAGAAGACATAACATTTTTTGATCATTTATATGTCAAATTATAGCTATTTTTATTCTAGAAAATAATTTGAGCGTGCCAATTTTTTTTTCATTTTTGTAACGTATTTAACTAATCATTAAGAAAATTACACTAAAAATTAAAAAAAATTGTGTGTGCACTATGTGCGCATATTTGAAATGAAACTTCTGTCCGTCCTTCTGTCTGTCTGTCTCTCCGTCCGTCACTCCGTCTGCCTGTCCGTCCCACTCTGATGAAGATATAAACGAAAAATCGTATCCAGCTTTGCACAAAATCTCGATAATTTAGACACAACAGACTTCTATTGTGAGCAAAATATTTAGTAAATAAAAAATGTTCTGAAAAATGTCAAAATTCTTCTTTTTTTCTAGGCTGCTATCAGACGTTCGTGAGTAGACCTGGAGGTCCCATGAACGGTACATTCACAGGACCGATCTTCACCAATCCCAGGGGGCTGACAGTGAGCTGCGTGTACACGTTCCTAGGTGGTCCAGGACAACGGGTCCAGATCACCTTCGATTCCTTCCGTTTAAGAGGCACACCTCCAGAGTAAGTACTAATACACCTCCCTTTTTTCAAGCTTTTTTTTACCAAAGTTTACAGAATAATCATATATTTTGCATTATTAGTAATACAGATTTAGTCATCATAGAAACGTGGTCTGGATTTTAACGTGTAAGATTTATGTCTCAGAACTACGTTGTGACGCTGGCGAAACTACAAAAACAAACAATCATAGTTTGAGTTTATTACAAATTTTATTGGTTCTATAGCGTGTAGCTTTTTCGATCATACGGTATTTGTAAAGATTGACTGCAGAATTAAGCATTATCAAATAGCTTAGATAAATTATCTTCGTATATTTCATGTTTGAACCGGCAACACTGTATGCCGATTTTTATTTTATCTCTCTGTCTGTCATCTGGTCATATATAGTTATCTCTGTCGTATGCATTAAAACACAGACTACGGAAATAAAGTGATCAGGGCCGTATATTTTAATTTAAGGCTGTACTTAAACTGCCGTTAAACGGTAGCTTAGTAAAATGTCGTTAATAGGTATGACGTCGTTAATGTGACACACCTGACGGCTTTATGAAATATAGGAATTTTATAAGGACTAACCAACGCTATCCACCCCACCAAATAACCAAATTAGCCAACGCACCTAACCTCGACACTGATAAAAAATATAAAAAACAAATATAAATTAGTAAAAATCAACCAACCCCACCAAATAACTAACTAACCAATGAATTAACACCCTCCTAATAACCACGCTAACCAACCCGCCAAATAAATAAACCAATCCAACCAAAAAGCGTGAAACCAATGCAATAAGATCACGCTATAAGCAAAAAAAATATAAAAAAGTCTTGGTCGGCGTGAGATTTGTACCACAGACCATCCGCTTACGAAGCGATAGCCTCAGCCACTGACCCACAGGTGCTCTTGCAAAAAGCTTAAGGCTAAGCATTACTTTCCGCCGACATGAACGACGTCACAATGTATATTAACGGCATTTTAGTAGGCTACCGTTTAACGGCTGTTTAAGTACATCGTTAATTTAAACAAGCTAAAAAGTTAGATAATTTATTACAGTTGGGGGTTGGTACCTTTGGTGTTACATTAGCAAAATAAAACACTAATTCACCACAATACACCAAAACACTTTACTTTTGCACTGGACGCGCATTTCGCTAACCATGTTAATATCATCAGCAGATGATTAAATCTTAGAGTTTTATGTATTGTGGTGAATTTATATTTAATTTTGCCACCTCTAATTTAGTAAATATAACATTAATATCAGTACAATTGCGCGTCTAGTGCAAAAGTAAAGCTTTTTGGTGTATTGTGGTGAATTAATGTTCTATTTTGCTCAAATAATTTAACTACAAATTTCTTAAAAAATCATCAAAATCCGCCCACTAGAACAAAACATATTGAATTTCGTTTTTTGTACCGGTATTTAAAAAAAATATATATTTAATTTAACGAAGTCCTTTAGACATTATATGTCCGACAGACACTTTGAGGGCATCACTTCCACAGCTAACATGTCTGTTAAATGATATAGTATCAAAAAACCTAGACTAATATATCCAGACTTATCCTAGACTTTATCTTCGTCGATATTTCTGTGACAAAAATAGATAACGATTGTTTTTTATTACAGTGGAGCAGCAGTTGGGGATCTCCCTACGTAAGTTTCTTCTCATTAGCTTAAAACGCTTTATTTATTGTAGCACCTTTTAATAATCTCACAAGCACTATTTCTTTAAACACAACTTACATACATTGATTATATTATAGAGCTTTTGAATTTATTTTCTGCTTGCTCTTTCTTTTTTTTTCTCTTATTATACAGAGTATCAAAAAAAAAGTGTATCTAATAGTGTACTAAAAAGAGTATATAATTATTGTAATTTCAACAAATGGCATAAAAAGCTAGGACTTTTTTATGTAAAAATGTGGCTCTTCTTTTAGTCTGAAACGGTGAACGGTTTTCAAGATATTTGCATTTAAAGGATACGATGCAACAATTTTAGTATTAGCTAAATCATAAGATTAATTTATTTATGATTTCTTTACATTTTATCATTTCTATATTTTATCATCTCTACATATTATCATTTCGCTAATACTAAAATCAATGCATTGTATCTTTTAAACTCAAATATCTTGAAAGTTGTTTACCCTTTCAAACAAAACTAAGAGTACCTTTACATAAAAAAAGTTTTAGCTTTTTATGCCATATGTTGAAATTACTGTATTTACATGGTGTTTCAAAAAACATGTGCCATCTCTCGTGGGGAGATTCCTCACGTTAAAGTAAGATTTATTTTTCATATTAAAATATATCCGATTCTGCTTTGTTTCGTAGCTACAGGGTGTCAAAGTCTTAATAATATTTCGATTTATTATAATTTTTTTCCAAGTACTTTTTTAGTGATTCGAATAAAATTTCGAGAGTAAAAGTTACTTTAAGTGCTACATATTTTAATGCTAAAAAAGTATGGGTAAATTTATCAGGGACGTGCATATGGGTTATTACTGGAATATTATTAAACAAACATGTGCGCCACTGACTATTTCCCTTTTGATATCAAAATTGTGTAAGCCGTTTAATGTCAATTCAAAGTTACTACTTGATATTTTGTCGAATTCGGCCTCCTAAAAATAAAATTAATAAATTATATATTTTACCTAATTTATTATTAAATATTATTACCATTAGTTATTATTACTATTAGTCCAACCTACAGCAATTTCAAATAAAAAAAAATAATATTGTTTAAGGTAATTACAAAAAACTTAATTGTAAGAATGTTTAATATCCTGTAACTCTAAAACTATGCATTTCCCATGTATCTATGCGTAAACCCATGTTTATAGGAACTTTTTTTTATATTTTTTTTATGAGGAATCAATAAGTACTTATTTCAAACTTTCGCAAGTTAATGATATCACATTTTTTTAAAGGTTATTGCTATTACGAGTAGACTTGAATCAAGGCAAATTAATATAATTGCAATGCTCATCAAGGAGTTCGAAATCAACAAAATATCAAGAAACAACTTTTAGTCGTTTTCGCTAACAACAAAAAAGTCAGTGGCGTACATGCTTTTTTTAGAAAAAATATTACAGTGATAATCCATATGCACGTCCCTGGTGAATACGTCAACACTTTTTTAGCTTTAACATATATGGCATTTATAGTAACTTTTGTTTTGGTTTGATTAGGAACTTGATTTGGTTAGGAAAATTGAAAAAAAAATCATTCGAAACGCTAAAAGTACTTGGAAAAAATTCTTAAGATTTTAACATCCTGTAGGTAGCTACGAAACAAAAGTTGGACCTATGTTGATATGAAAAATAAATCTTATTTTTACGTGAGGAATCTCCCCCGAGAGATGGCACATGTTTTTTTGAAATACCCTGTATAAGGCTAAAGGAACTACTAGTAGTGAGTAGCAAATTTCAAGAAAAACGGCTTATCAGTGTTCTAAAAAATAAAAAAATAAATAATTATTTTTATTTACCTTTTCGAGGTCTGTAAGTTCCTCGGGAAGTATTTTAGGGAATATGTTCAGAGCAACTTTTTGTTTTATTTTTATCCACCGAAATTAGATACACTATTTTTTGACACCCTGTATATGCTTTGGAACAATAAACCCTTATTATTATTATAATTTTATATATCGGTGCGTCTCAAAAGTGGCTCACCCCTCTAACTTTTTTTATTGTGTCAGATAAAAAAACGGGATTTGGTATGTTAGTATATGACATAAATTAGGATTGATTTGCGTATTCAATTGTTTCCTGTTTCACGGTAAATTACAATTAAAACTTTTGATTTTTAATGACACCATCGGAATTTTTTTACTTTATTCGATAGAAAATGACATTCTGAATAGAATGACATATCATATGTCAACTTTTGACATTCTCTCTTAATAAAAAATTGTATTTTAAATGTAATTTAGAGTGCTATGGCTATGTTAAAAACACTAATTCTTAATCAAGCAGCCTTGGAAAAATAGATTTGATCGTCTAATGTTTTTAGTGTCTTGTTCTGGCCAGTTAGAAAATGCTCAAATCGTATTTTTTATCATATCCCAATTTTTTCAAATGGAATGATGGTGGCTCATTAGCATATTTGGAAAAATAATTTGATACCATACACTTGGTATTTCAAGTAAAATTTTCAATCGAGTCAAAGTTATAATTTGAAATAACCCATATGCAAAAATGTCAAAAGTTGACATATGATATGTCATTCTATTTAGAGTGTCATTTTCTATGAAATAAAGTAAAAAAATACCGAAGGTACCATTTAAAAATCAAAAGTTATAGTCATTTCCGGTAAAACAAGAAGTGACCAAAAACCACTGAATACGTCAGTCAAACCTAATTGATGTCATATACTAACACACCAAATCTCGTTTTTTTTATCTGAAAAAAATAAAAAAGTTATAGGGGTGAGCCACTTTTGAGACGCACCCGGTATATTATTTTTATTTACCCTTTCGAGGGCTACTTCCTCGGGAAGCATTTTAGGGTAGGTATATTATATATCTTCAGAGCAACTTTTTATTTTAATTTTATCCGTAGAATTATCCACCATTTTAGATAATACTCTGTTATTTGACACCCTGTATATGCTTTAGAACAATAAACCTCTCTTATTATTCTAATTATTATTATTTAGATGTGTCCACGAGTACATGGACATCTATTCCGAGGTGACCCAGCCGGATCTGGCTGAACTGGTCAGTTCACCCTTCGGCGGACGGTACTGCGGTCCCATCCCACCCAGGACGAGGGTCTCGTTGTACCGGGCGCTGGCCTTCTCTTTCCATTCGGATAAAAACGCCTCCATGCCTGAAGTCTTCACCGGAAGATACGCCTTTATCAACGACTGTAAGTTAATCTACATCCACGGTAGGGTGCACAAAAAAAATAGTTTTTTTCTTTACTGTGAAAATATCGTTCAGGAGGATGAATACAAAATCCGGCAAAGTTTGAGCTTTTAATATTAATATTAAGAGATGCCCCATCGTGATTTTCTATTTCCCATTTACATACATACTGCCATTACTCGCTGACGAGTATTCGACACGCATCAGAAGATGGTCACACAAGGCGTTTTCTTCATGAGCTTTTCTGTGACTGAAAAGCCCGATACGTGATGTTATCTGCCTACCGCACTCCGGACATTCAAAAATCTCATTGCTTTGTTGCCTCTTTACTTTTTGGTTTTCGCTGTTGACTCAGTTGGTAAGAATTGTAATACTTCTCCATTGAGTTCTATTGTGAGCTGCTTCTTCCCACTCATTCTGCATGTTAATCCTCCTTAAGTTTTCGTGGAAAATGTCCTTGTACCTTTTCAGTTGTCCACCCGGCCTCCTCTTACCGTTTACAAGCTCATCGTAAAGCAGAGATTTTGGTATGCGGTTTGCTTGCATTATGCATACGTCACCAACACATCTTAAGCGGGATTTTGTAACCATGACTCCAATACTCTCACAGTTGGCTTTTTCAAAGACCGATACGTTTGAGACATGATAGAACCACCGGATTCTTAAGAGTTGTCTAAGGTGGCTCTGTTGCAACTTGTATAATGCGTTCATGTGTTGTCAATACGGCACCCAGGTTTCGCTCCCATATAACATGGTGGGGATAATAATTGCTCGGTACACTGCTAGTTTCGTTTTTGTACCCAAGTCATTATTGTAGAAAACCATGTCTTTTAATTTCCAGAATGCTCTTGAGGCGCTGCTAATCCTGTGCTGAATTTCAGAGTCAATATTGGTCTTTTCCGAAATCAAACTGCCAAGGTAATTGAATTCCGCCACATATTCCAATAGTTCTTCTCCGATCTTTATAGCATTGTTGTGATCTTCCGGGGGAGTGCACATGATTTTGGTTTTGTCGATGTTTAGCTTAATGCCCAAAGCCTCGTATGCCCAGGTATATGTGTTCAACATTTCTTGTAACTGTTGTAACGTGTTTGCAACTAGAGCGCAGTCATCAGCGTATTGAAGTTCTGTGATGAATTTTGTACGTGTTTTTGCCCTGAGTCTTTTTATGTTGAACAGACCGCCGTCATACCTGTATCTAACACCCAATCCTCTCTCATGCAGTTTGCTGCCCACTAAAATGGAGAGCGCTGCCATGAATATGTTGAATAGGAGAGGCATTAAGAAGTTGAACTTAACCTTCAAACGAATCTATTAAATGAAAATTTATATTAGTCCTTTTTTGAAGACCGTTCAATTTCCTACAAGAATGTGTATTGATTTTTACAAAACACTGATTTGTTAGAACGCAATAAAATTCCAGAGAAAAAAAAATATTTCCCCGTGTTATTTAAATGGGAAATAGAAAATCACGATGAGGCTTTATTATCTTAATATTATTATTATTATTAATTAATATTAATATTAAAAGCTCAAACTTTGCCAGATTTTTTTTTTCATAATCCTGTACGATAATTTCACGATAACGAAGTTAAGTTAAAAGAAAAAAATATTTTTTCCAAAGCAACTGTTAAAATTGCCTTATATCCATCAAAAATAGTAGATAAAATAGTACTTTAACCGCAAGGGTAGATTAAATGATACTTTAACAGCGAGGATAGGTTAAAAACTTCTCGCACGTTATTTAATTGCTTCCATTTTAAAAAAAAAATTGTATTCCTTTTCATAAGTTATTCGGGATTTAAATGGAAGTAGTTTGCATATGGCGTTTGTCATCAGCCTGAATATCTGTTGGTAATTTACTTATTTCGTTTTGAGCCATTTCTGGCTCCAATTCAATCAGCAATCGACACGAAAGAGAATTAAAAAATATTGTCTCAAAACTGACAACTAAATAGACAGCTTTATTTATTTGTCAAATTACATAGAAACCAACGCCAACCCAGCACAATATTTTTTCTACTCGTAATAAATTCCTTGAAATAATAATTTTTGAATATTTTTTAAAACGTAACTCGCTATGGAAAAAAATATTGTTTTATACACGACGATAAAATTGCATTATCGTCTCCCGAAATTAATTTAAATAACATCGTGTATTAATTTATTAATAACTCGTGAATAAATCTTTTCGGTCGATAAAATGGTATTTTATCGTCTCGTATAAAAATATCTATTATTTTTTTGGTACACCCTAATCCACAGTGTCGATAATACTGTTAAAAAATCACAAGACATAATTTAATTCAACGAACAAAACGTGCTTATAAAACGAAATATCTAAATTAACACTCTTTTTTAGCTGAGTACGAGGTGGGTACTCCAACTGGTGCTGGTCCTTGTAATTTCCTAGTAAAAGGTGCTGCCAAACATACAGGGAGCATAGTGTCTCCCACGTACCCCGGAGCCTATCCGAAGAGTCTTTCCTGCTCTTACCAGTTCCTGGGGGCACCCGGTGAACGTATTCGACTGGAATTTAGGGATTTCGACTTGTTTTATGGTGGACAGCAGTAAGTGAAATGTTATATTTACCTCATATCTATATATTTGTTTTTACTGAAATAGAAAACTCGTTTAAAAAAGCCGTTTCTTCCTTGCTACTGTTTTTAGAATATTTTTGATAACTTGACTGTAGTTTTTGGTTTGACAATAAATTTTCTCTTTTCTTTGTTGCTTTCTACTATTCATAAAAAGATACTTACTCTAAAACGCCAAGTATTTTGTTGGGTAAATAGGTGTACTGAAAAAATGTTTCTACATCTGTATTTAGTATTTTTGATAATATTTAATACAAAACGTAAAGATAACTTTATGATGGAGGCCTTCAAGATGTTGCTATAAGAACTTGTTTACCTACACATTTCCTTGAAGGTTTTACTCATAGATAAAAGAAAATAATCTTCTATTAGTTTTACTACAGACATACATAACTGTCATTAGTCGCTGACGAGTATTTGACACGCATCAGAAGACACAATAAGGCGTTTTCTCTCATGCATGAGCTTGGATTGAAAAGCCCGATACACGATTTTATCTCTCTTCCGCACTCCGGCCATTCAAAAATCTCATTGCTTTGTTGCCAGTTTACTTTTTGATTACCGCTGTTAACTGAGTTTACAATTCTTCTCCATTGCGTTCTATTGTCTTCTCTTTCCACTCATTCTGCATGTTTATCCCCTTTAAATTTTTGTGGAAAATATCATTGTACTTTTTGAGTTGACCACCCCGTTTTCTCTTTCACCATTCATCATTCTTCACCATTCACAAGCTCACCGTAAAGCAGAGATTTTGGTAGGCAGTTTTCTTGCATTCTGCATACGTGGCCAGCCCATCTTAAGCGGGATTTCATAATCATGACTTCAACGCCCTCGCAGTTAGCTTTTTCAAGGACCGATACGTTTGAGATATGGTTGAACCATTGATTCTAAGGTGTCTCTGTTGCAACTTGTTTAATGCGTTCTTATTTAATGCCTTGAGGGTTTTATGGGTATTATAGATTTGTCTAATAAGTTATTGGTATCATAGCAATATTTGATGATATCATCATCAACTAGCCTAAAGCGTCCACTGCTGGATGTAGGCCTCCCCCAAATCTTTCCACTCTTCTCTGTCCTGTACCGATTTGGATCCAGTTTCCTTTAAATCTCTTCGAAACATCTGACCATCTTGTCGGATGTCTATTTTATTTTGATTTGATTGGTCATTAGTTTTGTTGTTGAATAATTTATGCGTAGTCCAATTTAATCTGACGACCGTTTAAGCGTTTCTAGCATATTTTGTGCTTCGTGTATTTTATCTGTAATTAGCACCAGGTCATCGGCAAAACGTAGGTTATTGAGCATTTCTCCATTAAAGCCGATATAATAATAAATTTTCTTTTTTTTCTAGCTGCCCATTTGATTATGTAAGGGTACACGACGGCCCAGACAATTCTTCGGGTATCATCGGTACTTACTGCGGCCAACAACGTAACCTGGTGGTTTATTCGTCGGAGTCGTCACTGTACGTCACTTTCGTCACCCTCAGACGCACTGCCAATACACAAAATAGAGGGTTTAAAGGGATATTCGAGTTTTCTAATTCTTTTACAAAATTAGGTAACCACAACCGTTATTTTTAGATATAATTAGGTATACAGAGGGAATCACTGTTTCAAAACACTTTTGTTATGGTTTTGGTCTAAGAATTCCCTGTTTTCACCGTGTAAAATACACAAGGTGGCGCCTCTCCTACGACGCAGATACTACAAGCAGAATGACAGTTTGTATTGAAATGGGAAGTGAAATTCTACAGGGAGCTGAGCAAAAAAATTACACTCCAAAGTTATGTTTTTTACCATGAAAAATAAAGAGAATACATTTTAAATTTCAATAAAAACTACTTAAATTGGAAATTACCCGGTATAACCTAATATTTATAAAATTATATAAAAACATTTTACTAATATTTATATGTATACAGGGTGCATCTCGAATGTGGATCACCCCTAAAACTTTTTTAATTTTTTAGATAAAAAAAACGAAATTTGGTATGTTAGTATATGACATAAATTAGGATTAATTGAAGTATACAATTATTTTGGGTCAGTAAAAAAAATATATTTAAAAAAAAATTGTATTTTAAATTTCAATCTACAGTATATTATAGATTGTCTTTACAAAAGAAAAATCTTTTTTTTATTTTGACATTTTGAGAAAAAAATCTTCATAAAAATTTTCGCTTGTTCTAAAATGGTTAATCTCGTTTATACTTTTCCAAATGTCCATATCGTTTAAGAGAAAATTAAAAAAAAACGTACCCTAAAAATCAAAACGCAAAACTATGGTAACATAATTTCGTTTTCATTCTTTGATAGAGTTTTATTTCTTTTTTAAATAACGTCATGTTTTTTACTGTTTTAGAATGTTAAAGAAGCACAAAATTTATTTTATTCAATGCTATGGATGGGAAGAGTGATAATTTGATGCTTTAATAACATCAAAAAATAATGACGTTAATCAAAATTAACAATAACCATCTATTAAAGAACCAAATCTAAATTATATTACCATAGAAACGACTTTAGATTTTTAGGACTTCTAAAAATTCAACCATAATTTCATGTTTTTTTAATTTTCTCTAAGACGGTATGGAAATTTGAAAAAGTATACACGGGATTAAACATCTTAGAACAAGCCAAAAATTTTATGAAGAATACATTTTTCCCAAAAAGGTTAATAATAAAAAAGTTTTTCTCTTGTAAAGATAATCCGGGGATATACTGTAGAGTACCATGGATGTGTTCAAATAAACCGTATGCAAAAATGTCAAAAGTTGACATATGATATGTCATTCTATTCAGAGTGTCATTTTCTATCGAATAAAGTAGAAATCGAGATAGAAATATACAGAGGGTACCGTTTAAAAATTAAAAGTTGTAATCATTTCCAATAAAACAGGGAGTGACCAAAAATAATTGAATACGTCAATTAATTCTAATGTATGTCATATACCTAACTAAACCCCTAACCAAACCAAACATACCAAATCTCGTTTTTTAATCTGAAAAAATACAAAAGTTATAGGGGTGAGCCACTTTAGAGACGCACCCTCTATATCAGAAACTCTACATTTTAGTCATATACATCTTTAATAAAATGTTATCTTTAAAACCTTTATTTTTCCTAGAATCCGAAAATTCATTAATATACAAGGTGGCGCACCTCATTCCCCTCGGTTGATTATACGAAAACGGAAAGATGTAGAAACAAAATATTTTATGGGTATATGTCAGGAGGTAATGTGCACAATTTAAAATTATTTTGAAATGTACAGGCTGCTTCAGAACTAAGGTCCATACCAAAGTTATATTTTTTCTTATGGAACACCCGGTATTTTATTTCATTTTTAGATTCTTGGGCCCAAAAAGAAGTATTTATTATAAGGGTTAAATATGTTTAAAATATTTGGTTTTTGAGATATTTAAAGATATTTAAATTTGCATGCTACAATAGAATAGATTATTAACACCCTGTACATTACTTTTCAGAATTAGTTCTTGTGCTGAGTTTAAAGGTAAAGAAAGAAAATTTACAGAAAAATGTTATTCCTTCCTTAGATGTATACAGGGGTATCAAAAATTGCTGGTCTATTTTATATATTTATTTTACATAAAAACTTCGTTATTTCAAATGCAACACCCTGTATTTTTTTAAATAAATCGAAGCAGATTCAAATGCTGTTTCAAACTATATTAGGGTTTCCTATACCTATCTGGCTCAGGTTTTGAATAAAAAGCGATTTTTCAATAAAATTGTAATCAAGATGGCTAGTGTTGTCATGGCAAGTTTCTAGTGACAGTTAGTAGCTATTTTCAAAATCGAAATTTGTTTATGGACTTATTTAAATTTATACCAGTTTACTTTTATTTAATTTACCTACAATAGTTTAATAAATAATATTTATTAAATATGTGTATATTATTCTATCAAGAAAAACGAAGAAGTAGTTCTTTGAATTATTTTACGATGACTTGTAGATACAGTAGAACCCCGATTATCCGAGTCGCAATTATCCGAGCTCTGGATTAACCGATGCAATCTAAAGACCCTGATTATCCGAGGTCGCGCGTCTATGCTCTGTATTAACCATTTATTAAAATATGCTATATGTATATTTACATATTTCCGTTTAAAATCGTTGGGACCGACGGGGAATCCCCTTGGCCCTTATTTATATTTTTGGTCTCTTTTAGCATGTAAATTTGAGTGAATGCAGTTCGTTATTGCGTTCACTAGGGAGAAAATAGTATACGTATGTACTCGCATGATTTATCTGGGTGGAGTTCTAGTTAAGTGTATACCAACTGCTTTGTTTAAATTTTCGTTTGCCGTATTATAATGGAACGAAACAAACGTAAAAGAATTGTCGTTCCTATTGAAGAAAAATTAAAAGTCATTAGGAGAATTCAAGCAGGGGAGACAATTAAAATTATTGCACGAGATTATTGAGTAGGTGAGGTAACAGTTGGAGACTGGAACAGAAACAGCACTAAAATAGAAGAATGGTGTATAAAACAAGCCTCTTCGTCTTCAAGAAGAAAATCAATGAAAAAAAGGCCGACTATGAAAAAGTTAACGAAGCTTTATTTACGTGGTTTACTCAGCAAAGATCAAAAGGTGTGCCTCTGTCAGGTCCCATTTTGCAGCAGAAAGCGATAATGATTAGTAAACAATTTCCAGAGACAGATAGGTTTACCGGCAGTTCTGGATGGCTTGACCGCTGGAAAAAACGGTACGGTGTACGACAACTGACTATATATATGGAGGAAAACTTTCTGCTGATGTGTCATCAATTGAAAACTTAAACAGGACTTTAAAAGCTAATCAAATATTGTGGGTATACATGTGATCAAATTTATAACTGTGACGAAAGTGGTTTGAATTATAAAATGCTTCCATCAAAAACATTGGCATCTCGACAGGAAAAATCAGCTCCTGGGCACAAAAAGAAGTAAGGAAAGATTAACCATAATGGCATGTTCCAATGCATCTGATAATCACAAAATTCCACTTATGGTGATTGGCAAGTCTGCACATCCAAGAGCGTTAAAAGACATCTCACCCAAAGCCCTACCAGTTTATTACAAAAGTCAGAAGAGTGCATGGATGGATGCGACGTTATTTACTAACTGGTTTAAAGAAGAGTTCGTGCCATCTGTGACTAAATTTTTGAAGAGAACCAGCCTCCCTATTAAAGCAATTTTGTTAATGGACAATGCTCCCTCTTACCCTGGAGAAGGACTCCACGTGGGCGAAATTGTAATTTTTTTCCTCCAAATGTAACCAGTATAATGCAACCAATGGACCAGGGCGTCCTCGAAAAGATAAAAAAATATAGGCGTTTATATCTTGAACATCTACTAGAATGCACAGAAAAAAAAGAGGATATTATCACTGGGATAAGAAAGATTACACTAAAAAATGTTATTTACTGGATAAGCCAAGCTCTTGGGATTCTGTAGGCGGTTCCACTATTCAAAAATCTTGGTCAAAAGTTATTGATATTGAGGACTATAATGACAGTGAAGATGATATTCCATTAAATGAATTGGCTTTGAAATGGAAAAGCCGTGGAGAAATGTCCTGTACAAATTTAAACGAGACAGGAGAAGAAGAAAGTTATTAGAATTAATGCAAAACTTGCAAGGTTGCGAAAATGTGACAAGACGTTGATGAATGGGTTAAAGCAGATGATTTAGAAGAAAAAAAATGAATATTGAAGAAATAGCGAATGCCTTTCGCGAAACCTAAAAATCAGATGACGATAACTATGACGAAGAAGTGGATGAACAGCCTTCCACTAAGATTACCCATCAAAAAGGTTTTGCTTCTCTGGAAACAGCTCTGAGGTATATCGAACAACAATCAGAGGCAACCCCAACAGATTTGCTTCTTCTTAACAGATGGAGAAATATGGCAGCGAGAAAAAGAAGATGCAATATAAAACAGCAGCGCATTGATACTTATTTCACTGTTTTATAATGTAGATTGTATCTACATATGTAGGTACTTATGTATTTACATGTTAAAATGTTAATAAACCGTTTAAAGTATGTATTGATGCATATTTTTTAATAAATCCGGATTATCCGAGTTTTCAGTTATCCGAGGAGGATGTCCCCACGTTACCTCGGATAACCGGTGTTTTACTGTATATGGATTTTCTATAAAATAGCCAATTACGGCAATTTCATTTTATTCACTTCCAACGAAAGGTTTCTGCCTAATAGGTTTTTATAAACCACACTACCAACTCTGCGAACTAGGACAAGTAGTTTTTCAAAGAAACGCTTATCAGGAAGATTCCTATTTGGATATCTTTGAGCATAAGCCCTTGAGGCCAAGAAGCAATTTTCCTCCCAAAATAATATCACTAATAACATATCTATTCGTTCCGCCAGCAGATACTGCTTTATTTTTCTTGATAAAATAGTGAATACTTACTTAATAAACTATTCTCGGTAAATTTAGGTAAGCTGTTATAAATTATAAATAATAATGTCCATAAACTAATGTCGACTCTGAAAATAGTTACTAACTGTCCCTAGAAAATTGCCATGGCGACACCAGCCATCTTGATTGCAATTTTATTTAAAAATCGCTTTTTATTCAAAATCTGAGCTAGATAGGTATAGGAAACCCTAATATAGTTTGAAAGAGCATTTGAATCTGCTTCGATTTATTTAAAAAAATACAGGGTGTTATATTTGAAATAACGAAGTTTTCATATAAAATATATCCTTAAAATAGATCAGCAACTTTTGATAGCCCTGTATAAATTTAAGGAACCAATATCATTTTTCAGTAAAGTTTATTTCTCTACCTTTAAACTCAGCATAAGAATTAATTCTGAAAAGTAATGTACAGGGTGTTAATAGTCTATTCTATTGTAGCATGCAAATTTAAATTACTTTAAATATCTCAAAAACTAAAGATTTTAAACATATTTAACCCTTATAATAAATGCCTTTTTTTGAGCCCAAGAATCCAAAAATGAAATAAAATACCGGGTGTTCCATAAGAAAAAATATAACTTTGGTATGGATCTTAGTTCTGAAACACCCTGTATATTTCAAAATAATTTTAAATTGTGCACATTGTCTCCCCACATATACCCATAAAATGGTTTGTTTCTACATCTTTTCGTTTTCGTATAATCAACCGAGGCGAATGAGGTGCGCCACCCTGTATAAGGTATTCAATTATAAAAAACAAAACTTTGCGCGCGTTCTCCTTGGAGCCTCCATGTCGTATGAGACGCGCCCCCTCTGTATGTATGTAAGGTTTGATTAGTACCACCGTTGATTTAAAGAATTGGGAAGATACGCAACCTAATGTATGATCGAAAAAAGCTAAACTAAATCTCGGACAGGCTGACGGTAACGCCAGCTATTTTGTGCCACGAAATCGCCCATAAGGTTGCGCATCTTATTTCTTCAATCAATAGTACCACTGAATATAAAATTTTGTGTAACTTAAGTGAGTGTGGAAATATTTAAGCGTTCAGTTTTTTGCTAACCTAGAGAATGAAGGGACTTACAGTCGTTAAATATACAAACTATTTCTTTCTCAGATTTTATAAGCAAAAACGATGGAGAACACATACGAGGCACGGAATGCGATCAGAGAATTTTCAGCAAAAAGGAATCGAACGGTTTCGTCTACAGTCCCAACTATCCGTTCCCCTACATGCCCAAACTGGTGTGTAGGTATTTCATCTACGGGATGCAGAACGCCCAGTACTTGGAAAGGGTTCGACTAGAATTCCTCATGTTCGAAATACCCAAAGGTAGCAGAGGAGAGTAAGTTCATTAATATTTTTTTGTGACCGAAAAAAGTCTCCATAAGTAGATTGTTGCAGAGCAGGAAGAATTTGCTCCCTTGGACCTTCTCAAAGTTAATTCCGAGGCGCAGTGGCGTGCATATAATGTAGACAAAAATAAAAAAAAAATATAAAATCTTTTTTTTTCATATAATCGCGTTATAACAGAACTACAGAGGCTACATATACACTAGGGTGTCCGTTATTTCCCAAGTCCATTTTTTGCTGCCGCCCTCTGAAATTTTAGTTTTTCTTCTAAAAAAATTATCCAACGTAAACAAGCTTTAATTTTTAATATAAACCGTGCCGGAATCCTGATACTTTTCCCATTTAAATAGCATGGAATTTTCTGACCTTTTGCATTTAATTTTTTATCTCCAAAGCAAATCAACCTAGAGCTTCGACAAAGACATATTCTTTTACGCTCTACAAAAAAGGTCTCTTTGGTTTTTTCAATAAAAACATTCCTTTAAAAGTTATTCGCGGTCATAGGTCATCAAATTTTTCTATCTATAAAATATAATTTTACGGTCAGATGCCTGAGCATTTTGTTTTTTGATTCATGTCAATACATGCTTTGGTTAATTTTTAAGAGCGAAATGAACTGGCCACGATCAATTTGCATTTTTTTCAATTATCATTACTTTTTGATGTAATTTTTTAATATGACGAGATGGTTTTGGTGACTATTGTCGTAATGTCATATTATTACGCTGCATTAAATACTCTATACTAAATTTAAAAAAAACGTTAAAGACTAACGATAGTGTCATGGTTTTAATAAACATTAATAACGATAACAGAACTAACGATATTAAAGAAAACATTTGTGATACTAGTATACAAACAGAAAAAAAATGTAAAAAATACCCTAATACTTTGTATTGCCTCCCTTGACTGCTATAAGTGCCTGTAGACGTCCGTTCATACTGCTATTAAGGCTGCATATATCATATTGCGTTATGCTTTCCCATTCTTCTTTAAGAACCAAGCGAAGTTCATTTAATGAAGCTGGTAACGCTTCGCGACCTCTTACCCTCCTGCCATGCATTTAAAAAACGTCAAACATGATGGGCACTTCATAGTAGTATATAGTTCCCAATAATCACCAAAGCCATTACAAAAAATAACTTCAAAAAGAAATAATAGGTAAGTGAAAAAATTGAAAATTGTTCTTGGCAAATTCATTTCTCTCTAAAAAATTAAATACGAAAACAAAATATATTAAATTTTAAAATACATCAAAATTTTAAGGTGTCCGTTTTTCGTGCCGCTGAGTATATTTTCTTCACTCTATAGCCAATGCCAATTTAATACATAATCTAGTTTTATAATTCTTTAATTAAAAATACGTAGGTTAATTTTGAGTTTATATTTTCAGTTGTTCTGATGGTTATCTGAAAATATACCTCAAAGGCCAAGAAACTATGGACGCGTATGACAAATTCGACCACGAATTGTGCGGAGATGTGGCTGAACCACTCAGCATGGTATCTGATGGTCCGAGATTATTGATGGTTTTCAGTTCGGGCGAACTGATGGGTAGAGGATTTAAAGCCAACTACACATTTGAGACTGGTAAGTAAACTGGAAAATAATTACTTTATCCACCCACGTAATAATAAAAACTAAATTTACTAAAAGTTTTTGTTATTCACTCTGGTTTTCTGGTCAAGTTCTGGTTTTCAAAAAAATACAGAGCTTTTACCTTATAAAAAAGAGAACAAAAGTAGTTTTTATTAAGAAAAAAATTAAGTGGAGTAGCGTTTCAAGACAAGGGTTTTCTGGGGTGTTTTATTTAACTCTAATTCAACTGCTTCTCAAATTATGCCAGTGAACGAGGTTATTTCGTGACTGGCACTACTTATAATACATTAACGGAGTGTATTTTAGGATTTCTGATTTTTAGTTATACAAACAGGTGTATTATAGACTTTCTATAAGATTTATTCCATGAAATACGATTTTATTTGACTTTTGAAAGAAAAGATGTATTAAGTAAAGACTGTTTAGCCATCGTTCACCGTTACGTCATCATTATTAGTCAAATACTTTCAATAAAAAGATTAAGGAATAAGGAAGGAGTATAATGCTATCCATGTATTCATGCATGGCCGACGGAAAGAGGACTCTATGGTGGGGATCCTTGACAGTTCTGTTTAACGATTCATTTGACATATTTTAATTTCATTTGAAATTTTGTAGATTTGTCAGTCTCTACTGAGCTTATTTTATGTTATTTATTATTTATCCTACTACTGATAGTTGTTTAAAGGTAGTAAATCTAGAAGGAAATTGTAGCAGAACTTAAATTAACAGTGACACATTGCGATTTATCGAAAAAGATTGTAAAATAATTGGTTGTGTAGCTTGCGGCGTGCGGTAGATCTCGGTCAAAAATCGAGAGAAATAATGAAATAACTTTTCGCTACACGTATGTATATAATATACATACATATAGTAAACCGATCATTTATGAAATTCACTTAAAATTAATTAATTATATATTTTTTCTTGCATTTTTGCTTTTATTTACTACTTGTCAAAGATTAGATGTCAAAGAATTTAGATACGCCAATTTAACTTACCTGCTTCAGTAGCGTATCGGATGTTTGTGTTAATAAATAATTATTATAACTTACCTATTTTTATTAGAAATATATATTTTTATGACAATTTTAACTATCAACGTTTATTCACAACGTAAAATAAAACAACAAATGATTGAGTCTACCCTACATCAGATTTTTAAACGTTTTGAATAAAATTAGATCGGCACTGATAAAACGGAGATTAAGTCAGCCATTTTAGAAGCCCGTCGCAGACGATCTAAGATTTCTTATATGCTCCTTCCTTAACCTTTTTATTCAAAGGTCAAATATGAGTTTTAGGGTGTGTCTGAGATCAGTTCATATTGTCTAGAAAATTTTAAGTTCGTTTCTATACTATTGATTGAGTGAGTTCCGTTTTTCCGACATTTATTCATTTTTTCTTGGACTCTTCATCAGTTACGATCCCTTTATTTTTAATCCTTTGGACTGTTGAAATTCATATTTATAAAGCATCAGCAACTCGCTGTATTATTTAAAAACGTTATCAATTTATATTTTTACAAATCAGACACTGACCCACAGGTCATAGTTTCACCATAACTGACATTATATAAATAACATAAAGCGTTATAACAGTAAGATAGATATAAAAGAATATTAATGGTTTTGTTAAACATAATTTTAAATAGTGTGATACACATTTCTTTTAAGTATTGTATTTTTTAGTATACTTGTAATTGCAGATGGAACAGTTCTCAGACTTTGTATTGTAAAATAATATAAATCTCTAAAGTGTAATAATCTCTCATTCCTCGACCATTTTCATTAAATTCAAATTATAGTTTATCTATAGATATCTTAGTTAGCTAGATACTTTAAAAATATGCTACGACTACGATATTTACTGGTTTATACTTCATTGTAAATATTTTTATTTAAATTTTATCAGAAATAACAAACACAAAAGCATGCACTAGCTGTGGCATATACAAAATGGGAATATAAAAATTAAAAAGCAAACAAGATTTTCTAATATAGTTCTTAACCACAAACTTCTTTATTTTTTAAACGTCAAATTTGAGATGCTAAATTTGTCTTTTGTAGTTATCAACGTAGGCAGTTTTATAGTAGTGTCGACGTAGGTATCTCTATTCACATAAGACGTATAGATCATGCCAAATAAACTTTTAGTTACCTGATTAAGCTTGCCCGGCACAGCGTTGCCCGCTTTTACATATTTTCTTTTAATCAAAATATTTTAGGAAACAAAAATAAATGAATTAATTAATATGTTATAATAAATAATATTAAAAGTTATTATTTACATCAACAAAATTCACCTCCTTAACAGCACTTAAGGGACATAAAGGGCCATTACTCCCGCTTTCCCGTTTAAAATATTCTAATAAAATGTCGATGAGTTTTTTTACAACGGCTATTAAGCTATCTTGTTCAATTCGCAATAAAGGAGGTTCTAAAAAGAACAATGTTCGACTGCAAGGTCTGGTAGTAAAAAAAATTAAGCTTAGAGTATCACAACACAAATCATTTAAATCAAAAACGCGTAATACAAAACCAAAGTGTCAAAACCAATGACAATATCAGGAAATAAACAAATAAATGTCGCAACTTGACATTTTTTACAGCAGAGCTACCACCTGAATCCAAAGCGGGAAATTTAAATTCCAGTTAACTCGGCGCCGAATATGTCCATGGTTGGCAACAATGAATTTAAAAACCGAACCTCGATTACGTAACTAATAGTTGAATTGGTATCGCTTATAGAATTGTCATGATGTAATTCTTTTGTATGATTATTTTTCCAGAATATCGAATTCCTGGTACTGCCGCCCCGGATGGTACTTGTACCTTCACCTACCGCAGTACCTCGAAGAAGAAAGGCGAATTCAACTCGCCCCGATATCCCACAAACTATCCCAGTTTTACCAACTGCACTTATCACTTCCTAGCCACAGATAACGAACAAGTCACTTTGGTTTTTGATAATTTCAAAATCAGGGCTGATAACGTAAATACTACCGTCGGAGCCTATGGGTGAGTACTAATTAAACCAAAAAATATTATGAATTCTTTATCTATAAAATTCCTTGATTAAGCCTACAATGGTCTGTAAATCACACACGTTGTTATTCATTTGATTTTTTATATACCGTATGCTCGACTGGGGAATGACAATCGATGATAATTTTGGCGAGATTAATCTCTAAAAGCCATCTACTTCAAATTGACATAAAAGTTAATTAAAAATTAACACTAATTAAAGAAAGATTAAAAAAGGATAGATTATTTGAAAACACACAAAACTATTTTCAAAATAATATTTTTTTTTCGAATTTTAAACTACAAACTACAATATACACAATTTAACAATAATTAAACTATACAGTAATCGCAAAACAATTTCCGATGCATCTAACATTGAATGACAAGCGATGGCGACAGTGCTGCCAGATTGTGATGGATTTATGATATGAATCTTAATGTAAAATAGGGAAACGATATATTTATTTTTAATTTAATAATTAATATTTTAGTAATTAATTGATTTATTTGTATTATTATAGCTTATTTTGCTTATTACATATTGGCAAAAGCTAGTCCATTATGAAGATTATTCTAAGCGTTATTAAGGGTTATTTATTTATTTATTGATGTACATGTTACAACACCACAAGCAAGTGGTAATAACAAATAAGTGAGTGCCATTAATACACAAACTAATATTCACATAATTTACTAAAAACTAACATAGAAATAAATTTGAAAGTGGTATAATGTGCTTACCAATCAAATTTACTTCTCTGACTACAGCGAGGGGTAAACACCTGACAAAATGTGTACACCAGAAATCCACTTTTGATAAATAAATCCAAGGAAATCCACAGAAATCCAAGGAAATCCATAGAAATCCAAAGAAATCTAAAGAAATCCACAGAAATCCAAGGAAATCCAAAAAATATTAGATTATATTTTAAATAGTAATATAATAATATAAAGTCGATATAGTATATTTCAGGAGATTTTTACATGACATATGACCAAAGTAATAAAAAAAATTGAGAGTAAGTTTTTTACGTGAATAAACGTCTATTTCACTTACTATTAATATTATGCGGTGATTAGTATTAGTTTAAACGTCAAAATGAAATAAAAAGTAATAGACTTGGGACCATTTAAGCTGCAGTTTGACAGAATTTATTATATAGTAAGTCATTAATACCAAGGTCTGTTTGAATGAACAAATCGGCAACTTTAATTGGTCCCAATTATACATTATACTGTATACTTAAATAGTTTTATTTCATATTTAACAAATAAGGATATTTTTATAGTGTACTAGGAGGACACAACTAATACAATAACAAAAAAAAGAATAAAAACAACAGGACCTTTGTATTAATGACTTACTATATAACAAATTCTGTCAAACTGCAGGTTAAATGGTCCCAAGTCTATTATTTTTTATTTCATTTTGACGTCTAAACTAATAAAAATATAAAATAAACTTACAACCTAACCTCACCGCGTAATATTAATAGTAAGTGAAATAGACGTTTATTCACATAAAAAAACTCACTCTCAATTTTTTTATTACTTCTTGGTCATATGTCATATAGAAATCTCCTGAAATATACTATATTGACTTTATATTATTATATTACTATTTAAAATGCCATCTAATATTTTTTGAATTTTCTTGGATTTCTGTGGATTTCTTTAGATTTCTTTAGATTTCAGTGTATTTCTGTGGATTTCCTTGGATTTCTGTGGATTTCTTTAGATTTCTGTGGATTTCCTTGGATTTCCTTGGATTTCTTTAGATTTCTTTGGATTTCTGTGGATTTTCTTGGATTTATTTATCAAAAGTGGATTTCTGGTGTACACAGTTTGGTCAGGAAATCTACTAACGACATCTAGAGAAATCCACAGATATCTAATAGACATCTACAGAAATCCACGGAATTCCATTGAAATCCACAGAAATCTACGGAAATCCACAGACATCCATGGAAACCCACAGAAATCCACAGACATCCATGGAAATCCCCGGAAATCCATATAGGTGTACACCAGAAATCCACAGGTGTTTACCCCTCGGACTACAGTCAATGAAAAAGGACCTTTATTGTCACGTTCTTGTTCAAAATAGTTCATCAGGGAAGCTACAAGCTCTTTGCTTCGACTGTTTAAATGCTTCGGCATATTTCCCACACACAATTTCAAGAATTGCAATAAAAAAACTCGAAAATTCAGTTCTTAGCAGATCTGTTTGTGCTTAAAAGTACAATTTTTAAAAAAATACTAGGAAAATAGGCAAAAAACGAGAATTCCTCACAAAGATTCAACAACACGATATCATACAAAATAATCACTGACATTATGATAATTTTTATATAATAATTAATTAAACTAGTTTTTGCAGCTTTAATCGAAATAAAATATCTATTACAATAATTTGCTCTATAAAGTAAAATGAAGAGCTGCCCGGTACCTTAAATTATACAACAAATTAAAACTTTTTTGCCAAAATTTCATTTAGTCAGGTTTATAGGCTTTAATGTCAATTTTGATATGATTGATGACGTGCACCGGAAAATGTTTTGCGATTACGGTATATACACAATTTAACAATAATTTTTCCTAAATATAAAAATAAATTACAACCTTCTTAAGACCAACTGGCAGTAAGTGCCATTAAAAAATAAAGAAGCGTTCGAGCCAAGTAAATGACGTCTAGGGCTTAACCTCGACAAAATTATCATCGATTATCATCCCCAGCCGTCTTTGACGCAGTTTTTTTCCGATCCTATGGTAATTAAATATTGTAACTATATTAGGTGTTAGTATATTGCGATAAAAGTTTCCATTTTAAAGCTCAGAAAAGATATTGTCGCTTATTGAATAGTGTGATAAATATGAATTATATATTTCTTTAGTGCTGAGTTATGTCAAGAAGACTGGTTAGAAATCTACAACGTCTATAGAGACGGTACGGAGATAATAGTCGGAAGGTACTGTCATATGTCAGCTCCAGGTCCCGTAGAATCCAACAGAGGAGCTGTGGGACTCAAGGTCATACTACACTCCGACGAAGCCAACGTTTCCAGCGGTTTCAAGGCTAGGTACAGTTTCGAAGTGGCCAAATCCATCTTTGGAGATTGTGGAGGTACTGGTATAGCCCTAAAATTGTATATGTACAAATGTCTTTTTTGTGCATCTGTTAATAGAACGTCATAGTTACTTTTGTGATGTATAATTTGGCCATTTAGGCTAATAAAATCATTCGACTTTTTGTCATTTCGACCTGCCTATTTGTTTTTAGATAATTAATAATCGTTAATAGACAGTTGAAATACAAGAGGTACCTAAAGTTGAAACATTTTCAATATCATCATGTAACATACAGAGTCTGGCAATAGTGCGTCGAGCATCTGTAGCTCCTAGAATAAAAAACTTGGGAATTTTGTTTAAGTGCAAACTTAAAGTATGTACTAGGTTGTATTTCATGAAAATATTTTAACTTCTATAGGGTGGCTCAAAAAAGTGAGTGAATCGGGATTATAAATAAAAAATATATATTTTTTAGCTGTTCTTAAAAAAAATTATTAAAAATACAAGAACTGTCCTGAAATCAAATCTATATTAGGCATTTACTTTAGATCGTCTGTACTTGCTTTACCATAAATATGTTAATCGTAAATCATACAGGACGTTCAAAATTCTACACCAAACTTTCTAAAATACAAAATAATTTTTCTTGTTTTTTTTTAAATGGGACACCCTGTATTTTATTTTTTCAATAGATAGAGAATTAAAAAATGTTTAATGGTTTCGCAGATATTCGCGTTTTTATATTTCATATGGCATTTTCCACAGTAAATTTTTATCAAAGTCACCCAATAATTTTTCTCTCATATTTTACCGCAGAAAGAGTCATATGAAATAATACTGCGTGTATCTGCAAAACCATTAAAATTTTTGAAATACTTTGAATAAAAAATGTTAATTTTTTAACTTTTCATCTAACAAAAAAAAATAATATACAAGGTATTCCATTCCAAAAAAAACAAAGAAAAAATATTTTATATTTTAGAAAGTTTGGCGTAGAATTTTGAACACCTTGTACGATTTAGGAGTAAGATATTTATAGCAGACTAAATATAGACCATCTAAAGTAAATCACTAATATAGTTTCGATTTCAGAATAGTTCTTGTATTTGTAATAAATATATGTTTTATTTAGTAATATCTCTGAAATTATGGAAATATATTTTCTCATATCTTAGAATTATGTAAAGTGGTCTGAAAGGAAGCCAAAAATGCATAAAAATAAAGTTCCGTTTAAAAAAATCATCCTGATCCACTCGCACTTTTATGAGCCACCCTATAGAAGTTAAAATATTTTCCTGAAATGCATCCTCCTACTTAGGTTTTCATCTAGGAACTACAGATGCCCGACGCACTATTACCGGATCCTGTAGAAACTAAAGCGGTTATGACAATTTTCTTTGACATCATAAATAGAGTAGCTCAAAAGATTCACCCTTTACTAATAAGGGAAAACCAAATGGGACACTGTACAAAAAATGATGTTTTTATTTTATTTAACGATTATTTTTCGTTTTAAAATTTGTATTTTTTTCTTGTTTAGCAAATGTGAGTAGTTCAGATAGTGGTCAGATACTTAGTCCAAACTATCCGAAGAACTATGATGCTCCCAAGTCGAGTCAGGCATCTAAAAGCTGTCACTGGTACATCAGCGTACGACCAGGCCACAGGATTCTAATAATTTTCGATAAGTTTGCTATTGAAGGAGAACCGAGCGGTAATATTATTTTATTTACTACATAAATAACGTAATAATTATATTGAATAAAAAAGTAAAAAATTAATTAATTACTATTCTATATTCATTGTGCAAACTCATTAACAAATTTGAGCTTTTTTTAAGTTTAAAGGTTTTTTTTAATTCATAACTTGATTTATACAAAGTGTATAAATTAGGTATGATATTGTGTGAAAACTTGAATTAAAGGTAGATTATTGTGAGTTAATAGAGATATATGGCAAAGTCCAATACTGCCGCAATTCCGCTATTAGCGTTGACGTTATTTTGACATTTGCGTTTGCCGAACAAAGAAGCTATGGCAACACAAAATAGCGTTGATTGATTTTGACGATTATGCCAACATTTTTAAAAACTTAGGCTTAACCTAGTTTTCTGACTTTGTCAATCAAAAGGGCATCTATATTCATAATTTTTCTTTATTTTTCTAAAAAAAATAACTATTAAATATATCAGGAGTTTTAAATAGTGTCTAAAAAAAGTGTGTCTAAAAAAGTGTACAATTTAACCCAATAAAGAGTTATCTCAATTTTTATAAAAAATACGGTATCTCAACTGATAAAATAACGTTCCGAAATTGTCAAATTACCGCACGGCGTCTTCTCCACCTAAATACCGGCATGCGATAACGTTAATAGCGCACAACCCCTTATTATGACACTTTAGCTGTCATAGTTGCCAAAATAACGCCTTCCATAATACCGCATATCGTTGCCATATCTCTCTAATGAGTAGAATTCAACAGTCCAGAATTTACAGATTTAATGAAGATCGTTATTGGAATGAAGCAACAAGTCTCGAGGCCTAATTATATTATCATCAAGTTAATAAAAAAAGTTCTCTAAAGCGGCCCACACATTATCAAACAAATTGCGCAACGCAGGCTGTTGCGCAACGAGTTGCCAATGTATGATAGTGTTTGATGCGTTGCGCAATTGTTTGATGAGTTTCAAGAATATTTGAATTCTTTTGTGCAACAGGACTGTTTGCGCAACGCGTTGTGTAGTGTATGTGTGTGTTGCGTTTCGTTGTGCAATATTTTAGTTCTTTCATCCAAATTCTTTGTTTTCTTTTTCGTTTTTTGGTATCATCAACATAAATGTCAACAAAATGGCAATTGAGGACATGATTGTTTCTCAAACAATGCACAACTTTTAATAAAAAGTGCTAGTGATTTAGACTAACTAAGTGCATGGGTGAGGCAGTTGTGCAACGGAACGTTGCGCATCGCTTTGTTGCGCAACTTGTTTAATATTGTATGGACCGCTGAATCAGTTGTGCAACGCAACGTTGCGCATCGCTTCGTTGCGCAATTTGTTTGATAATGTATGGGCCGCTTAAGAAACCGAAAATAGCAAAAAGAAATCGTAAATTATTAAAATAAAAACAATATATCATGTCTTTCAATGAAATTACCTGAAAGGAAAAAGCGTTAATGTTTTTAGCTTATATAAGCATGATGATAGGGTAATTAGCCTTCGAAAGTTGATGCTTCCAAATAAAGGTCTACATTAAACAAGTTTAAAATAGTTTTTATTATTTTTTATTCGTATTTAAACCAAAAACTTTAAACAATTTTCTTTATGAAACTTTATAAAATATTTATTTCAGAATAGAACATCAACACTAAAAGATTATTTCTTATCTGTGTTCAAAATATGCACTAAATGAATCCTCATTGACTTATACTTTTTAAGGTTTATAATATACAAGATTTATTTGATTGTTTGACTTATTTTAACAATTTTGCTTTACATAATTCTAAATTGTATGATACGCATATTCTTATATTCTTGTAGTTTTCATTGTTTATTTTTGGTGGTAGCTAAACAGAACAGCTCGTTAGTACAGGAATAGTTTTTCATAGTACAGGAATAATTTTGTTTTAAATAAAATGTCGAAAATGTCGAAGTTCATACCAATTAAACTTTTAGTCACGTGATTAAGCTTGACCGGCACAACGTTGCCTACTTTTACATATTTTCTCTTAATTAAAATATTTTAGGAAACAAAAATAAATTAATTATAAATATATAAACAGTTACTATTAACAACAACAAAACTTGCCTTCTTAACAGCACTTAAGAGACATACAAAACCATTACTTAAAATGAGTTTTTTGCATTGGCTATTAAGCTATCTTGTACACTTCGCTCTAAAAGAGCTTCTAAAAAGAACAATGTTCGACTGCAAGGTCTGCTAGTATTTTTTTTAAGTTTAAAGTATCACAACAAATTCATTTAATCCAAAAACTCGCAATACAAAACTAAAGCGTCAGAACGAATGACAATGACAGGAAATAAATAAATAAATGGGGCAACTTGACATTTTTTACAGCAGAGCTAACACATCAATCCCCAGCGGGAAATTTAAATTCCAGTTAGTCAGCCTAGCGCTGAATATGTCCATGGGTGAAACAGTGAATTTAAAAATCGCTCCCTCCATTACGTAACTAAAAGTTTAATTGGTATCTAATATAGGTGTGTAGTACACAACAGTCAATTTTTTTTAATTTTGCATTAATTTATTTCCGATATTAGATTCAGAACTCACAATGGCTTTTTTTAAAAACATCTGTAAAGTATATAAAATATTAAATAAAACTAATAATTTTAACACAACGGCAAAAAATCATTAACAAGATAAATCAAATACGTTAAATAATGTTGATTTTTCTAAAATATTAAAAAAATTCCAACACCAACTATAATTTCATCCTAATAGTCTAAATTCGTGGTCTGCATTTCAACGAGATAGACAATATTGAACATATACCAAAAAGATAAAAAGAGACTTAAACAGTCTTTTATTAGTTCCAGTTAAAGAGTCTTTCATGTTTATGGTAGGTATTGCCGGATATTTCAACAAGAATTAAATATGCTTCAAGTAGAGGGTTCAGATAGTCCTGCAGCTAGGTTTAAACCATTAATAAAGAACAAGTAGTTTTACCATTTTCTTGCATTTGTAATATCTCACATAAGCTTGTGATTATATTAGGCAAAAAAATTGTCTTACACGTTGAAGCACACAGACCCCGAATTTTTTAACGACCCAGCCGCTTCAGTATTATGTTATAATAACAACAAAATAAAATAATAGCAATAGTACTATGCAGCATTAAAATAACAATTATTATTTATCAAAAATAAAAATAACAAATTTAATTTTAGGGAGGGGATGTTCAGCGGCAGTTTTGAGGTTATGGACTGACATCGCAGCACCTAGCAAAGAGCTATGCGGTGAAAAGCCTCTCAAAGAGAAATGGCAGTATGTTTCGACTTCTAACCAGATGAGATTAAGGTAAAATAATGTATTAGTTAACCTCTAAGGTTTAGTTTGGTTTAGACCCAATCTTATCCTTAACATTGGCCCTAGATACATAACCTAACTAGTTTTAAGACATGGAATTCATATTATACTACTAGTCTTAAGGAAACTTTAGTACGGGCATGAGTACATACATGAAGCATAACTTTGAATACAAAGATTAAAGAAGGAGTATACTAATATCCACGATATTTATTCACTAGAGACGAAGTTTTATTTTTGTAAACATATAGGCTTGCAATATTATCATTTCTAGCACCTGTACATTTGTTGCGTTAAAAAATCTAAAATGTCAATATTCCATGCGTATATTGATAAATGAGGTCTAAATTATAAGAAAATGCATTTTCTACGAAAACTTGAAGAGATAGGTAAAAAATGTTATGATACAATTTGATAGACAATTAAATAATACATCTGATTCTCGTAAATATACACTGTGTTCCATTTAAATTAAACAAGTTATTGCCATTTAAATCTAGTAATTATTTAATATAAATTTTTAGACACTCTGTATAAGGTAGTATTATTTTTATTATTGTAACACAATATCTGATCAATAAATAAACTAACAGTAAATATTTAGCACTAGAAACCTTTCATACCCTTGGAGAAATGAAGCCTTAAAATTTTTACTACAATTTCACAGAATTGGATGTATTTCAAAAACGATAAGGTTTACGTGTGATAAACATTAATCAAATTTACTTTTATTTCAATCGTAGAATCAAAAAATAAAATAATGTACAGGGTGATCAATTAAAAAAAATACAACTTTGATATTTTTTTATTTATTTGAGACACTCTGTATCTTGTAAAAATATTCTTGAATATTCCTAATCAACAGAAAATATCATTTTTAAAGCAAAGCATTTTTCTTATAGCTTTATAACTGCGGATAAGGCTGTGGGGTACGCAGGGTTTAAAGCCGTATGGACCGAGGTACTTAACGGACCTTCCTGCGATGAGTTCCAGTGCGAGATATCCCTGTTTTGTATACCGTTTCACCTCAAGTGCAACCAGATACCGAATTGCGGAGTTGACGATGACTCCGACGAAAAAGACTGTAAGTATAACCCGATATATAATCTCTCAGCGAAAAAAAACTATAAAACTAAAATAATTCCTGAGCGAGTTTACATTATTTGGTGTGCGCAAAAAATACTAATTCGTTAAATAAATCTAAATAAATATATTTTTCTCATAAAAAAGAACTATTATACAAAAACAAAATAAAAGTTATAGAGAGATCTCAGATATACATATTATCTCTCTCTAACAAATACCCGTATAAATAAATTATCTCTTATAACTGCTATGAATATGTAGTATCTATTAGACACTTAAAAAATAAAATTTCTAAATCACTGTTATTTTTTGAGATAACATTGGCATACAAATTGTTTTTTACAATTTATTTCTGTTGCATTGCACGCTCAAAGAATACGGGGACATAACCTAACTAGATTTGATTTTAATAAATCATATTATGTTAGGAAATGTTTCTCATTATTTTATGGTGGCTGTGTCAGTGGCGGCGTCCAGAAACGATTTTTGAGTGGGCTGATTCTTGTTCTTTTTTCGATATTAAATGTATTTTCCAGTTTGCGGTAGGTGGCAACAGATAGATATAGTTCATACCAAATGAACTTTTACTCACGTGATTAAGCTTGACCGGCACAGCGTTGCCCACTTTTACATATTTTCTTTTAACCAAAATATTGTAGGAAACAAAAATAAATGATTTTAAATATATAAACAGTTATTATTTACATCAACAAAACTCACCTTCTTAACAGCACTTAAGGGACATAAAGGGCCATTAATACCGCTTTCCCTTTCAAAATATTCTAATAAAGTTGCGATGAGTTTTTTACAGTTATTAAGCTTGTCTTGTACAATCTTGTACACTTCGCACTAAAAGAGGTTCTAAAAAGAACAATGTTCAACTGCAAGGTCTGCTAGTGAATATTTTTAAGCTTAAAGTATAACAACATAACATATTTAAACCAAAAACTATTAATACAAGACTAAAGTGTCAAAGCGAATGACAATGTCAGGAAATAAATAAATCTGGCAACTTGACATTTTTTACAGCAGAGCTACCACCTGAATCCCTAGCAGGAAATTTAAATTCCAGTTAGTCAGCCCGGCGCCAATTATGTCCATGGTTGGCAACAATGAATTTAAAAATCGTGCCCTCGATTACATAACTAAAAGTTTAATTTGTATCAAATATGGATAAAAAAAAATGGATTTTGACAGAATATATAAAATTTGTAATTTTTGAGTCTAATATAGAAAATAGTTGCTGAGATTAACAGTGGACATTTTTTATCTGTAATCTGTACTCCTATTTTAATAGAATTCTCAACTTCCAGTCTTCTTTACAATGGAGTATCAGAAGAGTTTGTCTTAAATAATATATCGGTATCTATTTTTATTAGTATTGGAAACCAGTTGATTAGGTAATAATTCTTCGTGGAAAAAAACCAGAAATATTAATAAAAACATTAATATCAATAAGGAAAATAACGTTTAAAATTATACACCCCCAATACATTATTTAATATTTCTTTCTGCGAATTGCTACTGATTTCAGGATTACATATTGTTATGTATTAATTATAAATTAGCTCAGAAAAATAATATAAAAATATTTATCATTAAAAAAACAATCTCTAAAACTGCCATATACCTACTGGGAATTCCATGTAGAATATTTGATATAATTGTTAGAATATTTGTTGGTCTAATAATCGCCACATAATCGCCACCTATCGCAAACCCTTTTTTCGATCAAAGCACGATACACATACAATCGGTATATTTTTTACACATACGTACCCTGTTTTGATAACAGTGCAGATTCCATGATAATAAAATTCTTACTTGACACGATTTATTTGAACGAAAATCTTTGCCCGTCTCAGCGGTAGATATACGAATCAAACGGTTAGTTTAAACACAACGAATATATTGACTCTCCTTAAAAAAGTATTCTTATTCAACCTCCCGCATTAAAATCTGTGACGTAGTGCATCAATTCTGTTATACGAGGGGTTCAGAAGAGAACTGATGAAGTCCTAGAAGATAATTATGGAGAAAATGAAAGTTAAAGTTTTTTAATGTTACTTAATTAAAATTAAACAAGCTGGAGAAGAAAACTTGACACGATGTTTTATTATATTTTAAATTGTATAATTGCAAACTAAAGTAACTCAAAATACAACTGTAGCCATTTTTAAGAATGTTTGTTTATACTTTTTTGAACTTGAACTATTTTATCCCGGAACATGAAATTTTAGATATAAATTGGTTCATCGGCACATTCTTCTTCGTCATTAAGGGATTTGTAAGCAAATAGCTACTCACCATCTACTAAGCATTACAAGAAGCAGTCTAGCGATGGGATGGGACCAACCACATGGAGAAGAGCAAAAGTAATCTTCATACCCAAAATAGGCAAAACTGACTGGACAAATCCCAAGTCATTTAGGCCTATTAGTCTCACATCGTTCATACTAAAAACGCTGGAGAAAGTAGTTGAAAACCATATTGGAGAAAATCATCTAAAGGTTAAACCACTGCATGATAGTCAGCATGCATATAGAACGGGTAGATCCACAGAAACTGCTCTGTACCAATTAACGGAGCTAATACAGACAAGTCTGGATAGCAAAGAAACAGCAATTTGTGCCTTCTCGGATATTGCGGGGGCGTTTAACAATATACCACATAAGGTGGTCAGGCGATCTCTAGAAACAAGAGGGGTGAACAGAACTATTATTCGCTGGTTTTGGGAAATGCTGTCAACACGAACAGCAGAGGCTCAGATGGGCACCAAAACTACAGCTGTTAAAACAACGCAAGGAACTCCACAAGGTGGAGTAACCTCCCCTTTGCTGTGGAGCTTGGTGGTGGATGAACTACTAGACGAATTAACTCTAGCGGGAATACATTGCATTGGGTATGCAGATGACATAGTCATGATCGCTCGGGGGAAACATGAAGGCACCTTGTGTGATATTATCCAAAGAGGACTCCGTATCACTGAGAGATGGTGTAGAACTGTCGGGCTGAGTATCAACTCAGACAAAACCGCGATAGTGCCATTCACCAGAAAGCGAAGTCTGAAAAACTTGAAAAGAATCCAACTAGATGGGAAGAAAATACTGCCAACACAGGAAGTTAAATACCTGGGAATAACTCTGGACAGTAAACTCCTGTGGAACAGGCATATTAAGAACACTACCAGCAAAGCCATAAAGGCTCTAATGATATGCAGAAGACTGGCCGGAAATAGATGGGGCTGCTCCCCTAACATTTTGCGCTGGATGTATACCATGATAGTAAGACCCATGATTACTTATGGAGCAGTTGCCTGGTACACAAAACTAGAGCAACGGACGGCAAGGCTAAACATATGCAAAGTCCAGAGACTAGCATGCGTTTGCATCACAGGAGCCATGAGAACCTGTCCAACAGCAGCAATGGAGGTCATTCTAGATCTAACACCACTGCACATTGTCATTGCATATATGCCAATGCGACAATGATTAGAATGGTCACTAACGGAATTAGTACTGGGAGAATTGTCAGATCAGGGGCTTGGAACACCCTCATAAAGGAAATACCACTCCTGCAACTCCCAGTGGACGATATGCCAAGAACCTACAACTTTGAGAAACATCTCAATGTAGTATTGGGCAATAAAAAGGATTGGAAGAGCAAAACGCTTGCCCAGCAGTTAAAAGACCATACCATAACTTGGTATACTGATGCTTCCTAAACCAATACGGGAACAGGGATCGGAGTGTTTGGGCCGAGAGCTAAATACTCCGAACCAATGGGCACTTACCCTAGTATCCTACAGGCAGAAATCTACGCTATCGAAAGATGCGTACAACTTATATTAGATAGGAACTATCCGAAACAAGAAATAGCCATCTTGTCTGATAGCCAAGTAGCGTTAAAAGCGATCAACTCAGTATCAATCAATTCGAAATTGGTCAAAGAATGCATAGAGAAGCTGAATAAATTAGGCAAAGAAAACAAAGTCCTCCTAATCTGGGTGCCTGCTCACCAAGGGATAGAAGGCAATGAAAAGCAAATAATCTAGCTAGGAAAGGAGCGAACACTCCACTAACTGGACCAGAACCGTTCTGCTTTCCAAGTGGTAACCAACTCAAGGCGGAACTCAAGAACTTGGAAGATTCCATCCGCAACCTGGAATGGAAATCTTGCAACGGTCTAAGACACTCGAAGAAGTTTCTGAGGGCTTATGATCAAGAAAAATCATAGATCTTCCTGGGTTTAAGTAAGAACAATCTTCGGATTGTCACGGGGTTTTTCACAGGACACTGTCTCCTCAATGAACACCTCAGTAGATTGAAACTAAGAAGAAACGGCGAATGCAGATTCTGTGGGGAAGATGGGGAAACACCAGTACACCTCATCACTGAGTGCGCCGAGACGACAACCATTCGTGCCATGAATTTTGGTACGACTGATATTGGAGATGGAAAACTACTCTCTATAAAACCGTCCCAGATACTGGCTTTTGTCAAGGGATTTGTTGACTTCACATTGTCTATTAATAGTGTTTTCTTCTATTTTTATAAAAATTATGGTATATAAGCGGGATGAAGGGAAGATCTTTCATGTGTTGCCTTTTAGAGTGTGTTACGTTACGTCTATATGAAATGATAAGATTTTTCTTCCTCGTGCAGTTTTATTCAGATCAACAATATGTCACATATTTAAATATTTATAAGAAATACAGCCTAATTTATTGATATAGTAATATATAGTATCTTTGAAAATAATGATAAATCAAACTATACTTTCAGAATCGATAGAATCAGACCTTTCAGATGGTTGATAATCTGATTCACTTGGTGCAAATGGTTCAGACTTTGTTTCATTGTCATCCATTTTATCAAAAAAAACATTTTTTAGCTCTAAACTTTAACACGTGTGTTAAAATCGCGCACAGCGTTAAATTTTATGGACTTCATTCAGTTCACTTCTGAAAGGAATCAACAGAATATTCAGAAACCAAACAGAAACAGACTATAGCTGCTTAATGCGTAAAGTATGACTTGATTCATTTCTCTACCGGAAAAAAAAACATGTTATATATAAACGTATAAAGACGATTATCTTAAAATAGTAGGAAATTGGACTTGATCCATTTTAATCCTGACCACTTCATATATGAAACTTACCGGTAGTATGTGTATCGTGGAATAAGGTAGTACTTGCACTTGAGTATACCTTGCGTGTGTGTGCAGGTGGCGCGGCGTCGCAGGTAGACGCGGGTGCAACCTCGGCGTCCCGGCGGCGACGCCCCACCTGGCCGGGCGTCGCCCAACTGGCCGCCGCGCTGTTGCCATTCCTCCTGCCGCTCCCGTAACCAACCAGCCCCAATCAATGCTCGCAAAACCCGCCCGCGCCCGCTCTCGACGTGAGTCTCTCTTTTCTTTCTCTCTCTCTCTTTTTTGGCTGATAATTGCTGTTGCATCGCTGCTCTTCGTTACTCAAGCTCTCCGCTACTAATACGCATGCGCTTGTTTGTTTTTTTTGGTGGTCTTTTGGCGTTGATAGAAGAAATAAGAAGATGCGCAACTTTATGGGCGATTTCGTGGCACAAAACCTGTTAGAGTGGTAGCTGGCAATACCGTCGCCGCTAGTCAACCTGTCCGAGATTTAACACTGTGCCGCTGCGCGCTGGTAGTCGTTTACAGCACATAAAAACTACTGTACCGTAGTTCTACTCTCAGCCGACAGAGTGGATGGTTCCCAAAGACAGTGTTGCTAGAACTACGGATTAATCCGTAGATTTACGTATTTTAGGTACAGTACGTTAATAATAAGGATTTTCTATCATTAAACAATTTAATATAATATTATATGATTAAACAAAGAACGGCGTCAGAGTTGGGTTGGAAATGAAGATAGCTGTTATTTTATATGTAAAATATTATGGTAAGTGTCAACAGTCATTATTTCCAAGCCAACTAAACGACTTTTTTCGATCATACGAAATATTCAGTACCTATAAAAGAATTTTTATTTTTGTTTGTTTATTCTATGTTTAACACAAATACATTTTTAATGCATAAACGCGGATTTTTCATCCAAAGATATTTTCGTCAAACGTTTTACAGATATTACACATGGCAACACTGTCGCTTTCGGTTCCACATCGTCTTTGATATGCCTTCGCTAACCGAATTAGAGAAAATGAGTGTTGTATGCGTTGGCCGCAGAACGAGTAGAGGCTCCACCTTACAGCACTTAAGACGTAAGGGGAAATAAAAGCCTTATCACGAATTTGCCCATTAGGTTGCGTATCTTTCCAGTTCTTTCAATCAACGCTTTTAGTATTTCAAACGGATATAAAAACCTGGTCAATCTATATCGATGGTCTGGATTACGTGTCAGATAATAATGGTTAGGTTAGGTTAGGTTAGATGACCTAACAGTCTAGTTAGATACCCTATTTAGATGCCCTATTATAGTCATAATTGCTCGCAGTTTGTTGTTTTTACAGACGAATTGAACTGTGTTTCCGTCTATCAAGTTTGTTTTACTCATTAAAATGCAGACCACTGATTTAGATTATGAAGTAGTTTCTTGGTCTTTAAATACATTCTGTTAAAAGTATGATGGTAAAAGCATAGTTTATCTTCATCGAAACTCGCAGTTCTTTTGGGCATCAATTTTACAGTTTCAGCTTCACATATTAAGACCCACCTTCACTACATTATGTCATTACATTACCCTCACTTTTATTTTCATTTCTCTTATTTTACTTCACACCATTGTCCTTTGATGACATTTATTATCTTCGCTTCCATCATTTTAGTTGCATTCATATTATTGCATTCTGGCTACTTTTACTGCACTAAGCTTTACTTCACATCTATCCATTCTTCCTTCCATTAGAGCAGTTAAATTTACTTCACATCATTCCTTACGCGAATTGCATTACATTCCTTTCAATCCTGACCATCCAAACCCTATCGTCTCATCCTTTTCCGTAATTCTTTAAAGAATTAAAATTCCTATTCAAATTTTCATTGTTATTTTATTTCATAACAAAGTAAATAAGACACTACATTCTAAATAACTAACTAGGTATATTCAAACTCATACAGATATCGTTGATTAAAATTAAAATTAATGTTATAAATACTTTAGAATACTCTACATAAATACATTTTCATAGAATTTGTGGCAGTATGAATTAATTGTTAAATACTGCCAAAAAGTGGAGTGCAAAAAATAAAGATGCCTATACAGGGTGAGTATTAAATAAGCGCAAATATATTCAGGGCTGATAAATCTCGATAAAAGAAACATTTTTTTTAGATTTTCTCTTTGACGTTTTTCAAATAAGTCCAAAATAACCGAGTTATTTTACTTTGAAAATTTCCAAAAAATAATAATTTTTTGCTTAAATTTTGAGAGCCACTGGGATCTTTTCTGTTTTTTGTTTCTTGTAATCTACTACCTATGTTGCCATATTATCAAAAAATTATGTTTTTTAACTAAAAACTAAAAAAAATTCAAAATTCTCAATTTTGTTTTCTCAAAAAAATCCTCATAATCGTGTTTCTGGGGTCAAGATATACTATCCCTTAAAATATTTGCACTTATTTAAGACTCACCCTGTATAAAAATATAAAAATGATTTCTTTACATTGAATAAAAAAACTATGGAATGAGCCAAATACTGTTTTTATATTCATACAATTTAAAAAACGAGCGCCACTGGTCAACCGGAACTCATTAAGCCATATTGAAGCCCTTTCATAATATCGTATCCATAATATTTTTATTCAATGGCTTTATAAACAAAAAAAGCTACCTAACATGAAAAGCTACCTGTCAAATAGTAAACTACATTTATAATTATGATAAAAAAAACGGCGTTAAAGATGGCTGTGGAATGACAATCGATGATAATTTTGACGAGGTCAATCTCTAGATGTCATTTAGTAAAAATTGACATAAAACTTGTACTTACTAAAAATTGACATAAAAATTTACCCTAATTGTAGAAAGATTAAAAGAAAAGGATAGAACGTTTCCAGGCAAACAAATTTAAAATTTCCAAAAAATATTTTTTCTCCAATTTTAAACTACACCATTTAAAAACAATTTTCACTCAATATAAAAATATATTATTGCCTTCTTAAGGTCAACTGGCAGTAAAAAATGAAGAAGGGTACAGACCAAGGGCATGAGCTCGCTAAAATTATCAATTGTCGTTCCCCAGCCGTCTTTGACGCCGTTTTTTTTTAGTCGTATGGTAATATGACTAGCATATTTGACAAGAAATTGTTTATTAGAATGTCAGTTTAAATAAAAATACAGAAGTATTTAAAGATAATCGAGAAAAAGATAGAGATAGAAAAAATAAGAATTTTGAGAAAGCTTCAGTTAACAGTAAAATACTCGTAGGCAGAGTGCAGGCTTTTGCATGGCTAGTAATTAGTTTTTATTAGATTTTATTTTAAACTTTATAATCATTAGCGAAGATTCAATTTCTTCAATCAAAGAAAAATATGTTAAAATAGTTGCTTTATTAGTACAGTCAATCTGGCATCAAAAAAGGTCTAGACTCCCATCAAATTATCCCCGCTCTCATACTTTGCCAGTCGTAAGTAGTCAAACGAAAAAGCTTAAATTCGAAAATTCGTATCCCCCCACCCCCACCATTTTTGAGAAACTCAAAAAAAATTAGGATTCGATTTTCTGGCTGAACCGTAGATCCCACAGAAAATTTTATGGAACAAAAAAAAAATGAAGGAATCTCAAAAATTTTGCGACAGTAAAAAAATGGTTTCACCTGGAAAAATGCAAAAAACTGCGTTTGGGTGACTTTGTCCACGAAGGTCTTAGAGGTTTGTTACTTAGAGATGACAATGTAGAGAAAATTTTCGGTGGGACCTACTATGGTTCAGCCAGAAAATCAAATCCAATTTTTTTAAGTTTCTCAAAAACGGTGGGGTGAGGGGGGGTACAAATTTTCGAATTTAAGTTTTTCCAGTGGACCACTTATGACTAGCAAAGTATGAGAGCGGGGGTAATTTGATGGGAGTTAATGGTGCCAGATTGACTGTACTATTATTGCCTAAACAGTTCATAGAGTTTATGCGATTCGTTACTTTTATACATGGCAGATACGGAGTGAAAAACAGTGTATATATAATACTTTAGTGGTTTAGGTATATCACTCCATTACATGATATTTCAGCTTGTGCTTTTTATAGTTTTATTTTATTTGAATTGAAGAAGAATCAAACTAACTGTAAATAGACCCGATTAGATATTATGTTACAAGTTATCATCATACAAGGAAACATACAACGCTATGTTGTATTATCAGTATTTGAATATATTTTATTTTTTAACGCTTTATAAGCAGTGACGTAAAGCTAATCGGCCTCTTTAAAGGTGTGACATGAAGCAATCTACTGATTTTTTTTGCAGGTCTGCCAGCCGAAGAACCTCAAAATCCCTTTCGGATGTCCTGGGTGGTTATCATGGGCGCCATTTTGTTAATTCTGATCATCCTCTGCGTCAGCTGTCAGCGGAAAAGACGCAGGCGCAGAGAGAGGGAACGGGCGATGCGTCGCAGCATCCACATACCAGTAAGATATCTTTAATTTTTATCTCTATTTAAATAGATCATTCTTTAATTATTTTTTTATAAAGTGACCATTACTTCTACACTACACTCTTAAAATAAAATTTTTGTTCAAAATCTCCATTCATTTCTAAACATTTTTTATCTCTTGATTTTTTCGTCCGATGCATAGTTTAACCTAATTATTGAAAAACAAAAATCTCTATCTGTATATCTCTATAATCTCTAACTATAGTTCATATCAAATAAACTTTTAGTCACGTGATTAAGCTTGACCGGCACAGCGTTGCCCCCGTTTACATATTTTCTTTTAATCAAAATATCTTAGAAAACAAAAATAAATTAATTATAAATATATTAACAGTTATTATTTACATCAACAAAACTCACCTTCTTAACAGCACTTAAGGAACATAAAGGGCCATTACTACCACTTTCCCGTTCTAAATATTCTAATAAAGTTGCGATGAGTTTTTTACGGCTAAAATCTTGTACATTTCGCACTAAAACAACTTCTAAAAAGAACAATGTTCGACTGTTTGCTAGTAACATTTTACACAATACTAAATAATAATAATAAAAAGTCGAAACGGATGACAATGTCAGGAAATAAGTAAATAAATGTGGCAACTTGACATTTTTTACAGCAGAGCTACCACCGGATTCAGGCTACTACCTGAATCCCCAGCGGGAAATCTAAATTCCAGTTATTCAGTCCGGCGCCGAATATGTCGACGATTGGCAACAATGAATTTAAAAATCGCGGCCTCGATTACGTAACTAAAAGTTTAATTGGTATCAAATAGAGCTGTCATAGTATAGAATTTCAAATCCCAATAAAAAATAATAATCCCAATAGTAAAACCCATATTGAATTACAGTCTACTACTATCCCTCTTATTATACAGGGTGAGTCTTAAATAAGCGCAAATATTTTCAGAGCTGGTAGATCTCGATAAAAGAAACATATTTTCTATTTACTGTTTTTCAAATAAATCTAAAATAACCGAGATATTTTACTTTGAAATTTTCCAAAACAAAATATTGTTTGCTAAAATTTTGAGAACCACTGGATCTTTTCTGGATTTTCTTTCTTGTAAATTTAATCTACTATCTATATTGCCATATTATCAGCAAATTATATTTTTTTACTAAAAACTAAAAAAAATCCAAATTTTAAAAAAAATATTTTCGCGAAAAAAAACCTCGTAATCGTATTTCTGGGGTCGAAATATACTACCACTAAAAATATTTGCACTTATTTAAGACTCACCCTGTAGTATATGGCATTAAGTGTGTATGTTTAAACATCCAACTACTTATTGGTTTTCTGCATCCAACACTCCACAAATTACGGATATATGACAAATGTCACTATTATTTTTTTTTATTTATTATAGAATGTTTTAAACAATACATTTACTTAATTATTCAGCCTAGTATCATTTGTGCTCCTCTTAGCTCTAAAGATTTTAAACGGTTTAGAATTAGAACCGGACAATCATATCCAAGTAAATTATGAAGTGTTAAAGGTACTGTTGGAATACTTTGTATTTTTGTAGATCTTTTACTCGGGTCATCTAGACTACGGTACTAAATTGTAAGAACTATTGTCATTAGTTTATCAATCTTAGTACCTATCAATTATGACCAGCAAAGATTTTCTCATTATTTAACTTCTTTAAGTGAAAACTCACCAGTCCTAATTAATTACAAACGATAGATCACCGAAGTAAAGCAACGTTAGACAATGCGAGCGGATGGACGGGTAACCGTCTGGAAACTCTCTGTCGTGATGTTGTTCCATGACAAGAAGGTAAAATCTATTGACACATACTGCTCATTCACGCCGGTTCCAGGCCGGATATCGCGTGAGTAAGAGTCGATTTAGACACTTTAGCCGGAGACCTAGGTTCGGATTCTGCGTAAACAAATTAGGTCCTGTCCAGATTAGCCTTAGCAGCAGAAGGAGACGTTAACTTAAAATACTTTTTTCTACAAATATCAGTAAAAATATAATTTTTAATGCATGCTGTCAGTGCCATGTGACATTATGTCACTGATGGTAAAAATCATTTACTTTTAGCACTAGTGCACTAGTGATTTACTTTTAACACTGAAGCGATAATATTACCATAGCAACCATAAACTTCATAATTAATTTGATTTCAGAATGACATATTATTATGAATTATTCATTAACGTAATTCGAAGGGATGGGACCCAAGCTTCCCTTCTCACAAAATAAAATACCACTTTTAGTACTTATATCATAAATAACTATTACTTATAGAATGTTTGTAAAAATTTCCAGAATACCGGGTGTGAAAAAAGTGGCTCACCCCTATAACTTTTTTATTTTTTCAGATAAAAAAGACTTGGTATGTTAGTATATGACAAAAATTAGGATTGATTGACATATTCACTTCTTTTCGGACACTTCCTGTTTCACTGGAAATTACTACCACTTTTGATTTTTAAATAGCACCATCGGTATTTTGTTACTTTATTCGATAGAAAATTATACTCTGAATAGAATGACATATCTTATGTCAACTTTTGACATTTTCGCTTAAAACAAAATTATATTTTTAATTCAGTCAAGGGTGCCATGGCTGTTTTAATAAAGAAGTCTTGGAAAAATAGATTTGATCGTCTAATATTTTAGTGTCTTGATCCTGGCCGATTAAAAAATGCTCAAATCGCATTTTTAATCATATCTCGTTAGCATATTTGAAAAAATAATTTTTTACGAATAATTTGGTATTACAAACTTAGCATTTCGAGTCAAATTGTCATTATGATCCGCATGTTACAATTTCAAAAAAACCATATTCGAAAATGTCAAAAGTTGACATATGACATGCCATTCTATTTAGAATACTATTTTCTATCAATATAGAAACAAAATACCGAGTGTGCCGCTTAAAAATCCAAAGTTGTAGTCATTTCCGGTTAAATAGAAAATGACCAAAAACAATTGAATACGTGAATCAATCCTAATTTATGTTATATACTAACATACCAAATCTCGATTTTTTATCTGAAAAAATAAAAAGGTTACAGGAGTGGGCCACTGTTGAGACGCACCCGGTATATGTATAGATCCAACTATATTTACATAATATATTCTGTACACAGTTATTCTGTTTACATGCATTCTGTAAGCATTTACAAAAAAGCTGTAAAATGTTTACATATTATTATCTAAACATCGATTACAGATTCTGTAAACTCTTTACAAAATATCTGTAATTTTATTACACAATAACTTTTGATTACAAAATATCTGTAAAAACTTTACAGAATCTCTGTAAACTTTGCGGTTTGAAAGTTATGTTGTGTCTTTAAGCAGCCATAAAACTTAATAGAATATTTGCAAAAGTTTCCAATATCGAAACGTTTACAGATATTCTGTAAATTCTTACAAAATATTTGTAAATACATTTTGCAGTATGGCCGTAAATTGTGTTGTTGTGTATGTAACGGTATCGTCGTCTTATTTCTAACCCGTGAATTTGTGTTTTGTTTTAGGTAGCCATTCCAGGTACATCCAGACAACAGGTGCCCCATTTCTGCGACGAGCTAGGCGAGCGGTTCGCGTCCGTCGACAGCGTCTGATGACGGCTGTCGTCGCCGCGGGCGAAACGCTGGCTGTGGCGCTGCCTCCGCGAGGCCTCGCGACCCTACTATCGCCTGCCGAAGACGACCGATTGGATAGCCGAACGCGTACGATCGTAAACGAGTAAGCGGCCAATCGGGTTCGATCGCGTTTCTTAAGCCAGGTTCACAAGTAGAAAAATTATTAAGGACGATGACATTTAAATAAGTTTATTTAAACCTAAGGTTAAAAAGTTTTATGCTTAGTTCTTCATTTATTTATGTAGTAGTAGCAATTAAAATTTTTATCATGATTAATACACACTATTAAGAAAAAATCTCCAAGTCAAATTTATTGGTTAGGATTTTCATTATCATCTTTTGTACAAAATATACGGGCGAAGTAAAGTAATCGAAAAACCATTTCCGATACACGTGATTAACTTTCAGTGACAAGTGATGGCGACAGCGCTGCCAGATTGTGATGGATTTATGAGATGAATCTTTATGTAAAATTGGGAAACAATATATGTTTAATTTAATAATTAATATTTTAGTAATTAATTTATTTAGTAACAGTAGTCACTAACACTCAGAGTAGAAATATATTTAAATTTAAGGTAGCAGCTACTCGCTACAAATCCAAATAAGTAGAAATAACTTTGAAAGTGGTATAATGTGCTTACCAATCAAACTTACTTCTCTGACTGCAGTCAAGGGTAATAAAGGATCTTTATTGTCACGTTCTCGTGCCTCTTTACAAGCCCTTTGCTTCGATTGTTTAAATGTGTCGGTATATTTTCAACACACACTTTCAAGAAATGCAATACAAAGAACTGTTCGTGCTTAAAAGTTCAATTAAAAAAAAAGACTATGAAAATCGGCAAAAAAACGAGAATTACTCCCAAAGATTCAACAACAACACGATATTATACAAAATAATGACTGACATTATAATAATTGTCCAATAATAAACGACAACGGTGGTGATCACGGCGCAATGTGACCAACATGGCGATAATAAAAATCGCTTTAAACTAATTTTTGCAACTTTAATCTAAATAAAATATCTGTTACAATCATTTGCTCTATAAAGTAAAATGAAGAGCTGCTCGGTATCTTAAATTATACACCAAATTTAAATATTTTTGTCAAAATTTCATTTAGTCAGGTTTATAATAGGCTTTAGTGCCAATTTCGATATGATTGATGACGTGCATCGGAAAATGTTTTGCGATTACCGTAGGTAAATTTTAAAACAATTATCGCATTGATATTCATTGGTAATTCAAAGACATATTTTTCCAAATGTAGTTTTTCTTTAAACGGAATGGTGTATATTTATTTAATTTGCTTAGTGAATTTGCCATAAAATACAATAAAATTTATGAAATAGCATTTTATGAAAAATCCAATGAGTGAGAACACTATTCCGATAAAAAAAACTTTGATGTAAAAATATGTATCAAGCACCCTGTATATCTATGATTATATTTTTTAAAATGTGCACTACTATTTTCTGCATTTTGCAATCAAAAATTGGAATAAAAATCTTAAATAGAAGATCTGATATGAAGCTTTTTCGGAACACTAGGTTAGAAACTAATATACAGTATGTCACAGGAATTTCTTTACAAGAAGAAAAACTTTTTTATTATTGACATTGTAAAAAAACCAAAATGTCAATAATAAAAAAGTTTTTCCTCGTGTAAAGAGAGATGCTGTATTTTTACCGCTGCTTTAAAAAGAATAGCTGATATCCTGTATTTCATGCCATAAATGAACACACTTTTTATCTCATTTCAAGATTTGTAATTTTCGTCTTTATGGAAATTATAATACAAGCTTCTATTAAAGTTCCTCATTTATGAATTATTCTTTAAATAGAAAATCTCTACTTGTGAACTGGTGTTTAAAATATCGTCGACAGCACAATATACAGGACTTAATTTTTATATAAAATCTAGTAAAAATAAAAAGAATTGATTTCAATATCAATGTAAAGACAGGCGAATATGGATTTATAATGTTAAACTATTGTTGGGCTTTAAATTATTAGGATTCAAAAATATATTTTTAGTTTTTATTCCAATAGTTCAATTATATTTTTGGAAATTTAAAAAAATATTAATGTCTCTAAAATTATTCATTATAGTTTTTTTGTATTGATGCTTTGAGGTCTAAAGCAGACCACTTACTAGAGAGCATGTTGGGCAAAATGTTGGCGAATGAAGTTTTCAACAAGTTTCCTAGCGTGTGTTAGTCAATATGTTGCTCTAAGTTTCATATGGAGTGCGTTGGTTGGTCAACATTCTGCTACGCATGTTGACAAGCATGTTGATCAAAATGCTCCCTAATGAGAGGTATGCTTAGATAACACAAAAATAAAATTTATTCCTTCTGAGTGTCTGTCAGGTTTAACAGACTAAAATCACTTATACTTTACCGAAAAATGCATATTTTAGTCAAATTCTGATAAACTTTAGTTGTGTTTATTTTTGTGCAGATTTTCCGATTTTGGACACCCAGGCTTAAATAAACGTCAAAAATTTACAGATGTCAAATTTTACGTATTCCTGACAAATGTTAGACGTTAATTTTTATGTAATTTTAAATCTATTTTTAAACTAAACTAACATCAACGTCATAAGTCAATTCACAAAAAAAAATCCATATGATGCGGACTTTATTTGTATCACTGATAAATATAATATATACAATTTCTTTTTACTGTAGTAGGACAATCAGAACACCCTGTATATTGAGCTGACCTCGCATCGAATATCAAATACTAAAAACACTTTTCGTGCGACAAAAATAAATGCCAAAAATACAGATAATAAAAACGCGTAACACTATAGTGTTATAACCCAAAAAAACAGAAACAAAACGTTTACAAGTGTTTGTTAAGTGACATTTCTTCCAAAATTGTTAGTAGTGACCGTGTGTGTATTACGCGAACATACGTGATTATACATAAACTATATAAAAATTTAGTTCTGGTTCTGTTGGCCTTAATTTATTTTCGAAAAAAAAGTCAAATCACTCGAAATTTGCAATAACTACGTAGCATTGCACTGTGCACGAAATAATATCCTCATTATTATCGATAGTAAAGTTTAAAACAATAATGGTCGACGGCTATTATACCCACTTCGTTTTTTACCATAGTCAAAGAGAGCAAAATTAATTTTATGGTTCTATAGGTCAATTGACGAAAAAATTTCAAATTTAGTTACAAAAATAGTACTAAAACTTTCGTAAAGCTGCCCGCATATGGGGTACGATTTGTCGTACATCAAGTTCTAGTTCTTAGAAATACGAGTTATCGGTAAATATCAGTTCTTCTATTTGCCTCTTCGTCCAGTGTATCTATTTGTTGGAGTATTATTTTACCAAAAATGATTCATAATAGGACAACAGGATTCTACAGTGTATAGTACCGTTGACTGAAGAAATAAGAAGATGCGCAACCTTATGGGCGATTTCGTGGCACAAAATTTGTTCGAGATCTACACTTGCGTGCATAGAAATCGGCTCAAGGCAAACTTTTGAAGTTAACTATATATTTTTTAGAATATATTTGTCAGATAAAGAAAAAAATATATACTGTTTGAAAAACAATTTCATATTCTTTGAAAAGAGTTTAGAGATATTAATTTGTATTTCGGTTTCTTTGGATTAAAATTATTAAATTAATGCATGAAACAAATTATCGTTCTTATTACTAAGATGTATGTCATTATTTATTTATTTATTTATTGACAATTAACTAAAATAAATTTTCAATAATGGGTATGACCCCCTCTTGCTGTTACAACTTCTCTCATACAATTTGGTATAGATTCAATCAAGTTTGATATTGTTGCTTGCGCGATGTTAAGCCACTCGTCTTATACAGCAACAATTAGCTCTGGGATAGAGTTTGGGATTCTTTGTGTAGCACGAATTGTTCGTTTTAGCTCATCCCATAAATGTTCTATCGTGTTTAAGTCTGGACTACATGCTGGCCATTCCATAACCCGAAAACCGACTTCTGAAATGTAATCGTGTACGATTCTTGGTGTGTGTGACCTCGCATTATCATGCATAAAAGTCAATTCGTTTCCAATGTAGTCGACGTAAGGTACCGCATGAACTGCTAAAATCTCCTCAATATACCTAGCACCAGTTAAACCCCCTCTCCCGTGCCGACGGTCGTCCCAACGGATGAAAACTGGGCCGGTTCGAGCAGTCATAGAAAGTGTGCCCCCCATCATGCAGAAACCACCTCCATAAGCAATCCGCTCCTCAATGCAGCATTCTGCGAATCGCTCACCTAGCCTCTAGTACGCTTTTCTTCTTCGGTCGCCACCATAGAGGCATATCCTGCTCTCATCTGAGAATAAAACACATTCCCATTGTTCTAGTGTCCAATTGAGATGTTCCGTGCAAAAGGCAGGCGTGTTTGACGATGAGCTTGGGTAAGTTCTGGACTAATTGCGGGTGTTTTGGGGGTCATGTTACTTTCCTTCAATCTTCGTCTTGCTGTCCACTGACTAACAGTCACTCCTCGTGTTTCACGGAGCTGTCGTTGCACCTGAATAACATTAAGATGCCGATTTCTTAATATTGTTGACACAATAAAGCGATCATCACGATCCGTTGTATATCTCTTTCTACCAGTTCCAGGTCGCCTACGAAAGGATCGAGTCTCCTCATATTGTTCACACACTCTTAGAACCGCTCCGCGTATCATATGCAGTTGCCGAGTTACAGCTCTCTGTTTAAGTCCATTTTCGATTAAAGCGATTACGTTGGTTAGGTTGTTAGGTTCCGTAATCTATGCATTAAATTAAAACACTAATCAAACATTGAAACACAACAAATCAAACAATGAAAGAACAATGTGCAAATTTGGATTACAAAGTAACAGTAAAGTAGCAATTGCAATATTTGATAAGTTTTTTATTCTTATTGTCACCACAACACAAATGCCTTTCATTTGTTCAACACAAATGCCTTTCATTTGTTTACCCGTTGTTAGGCATAGAAACGATAAGTACTTTGGATAAATTTATACTAGTATCAAAGCATGTTAAATTGTCTTTGAAACAGCTCTTATTTTTTCTTAGTCTGATAAATAGATTCTAAAAGATACAGTTAAAGTCAAAATTTCATAGTGGGCCGATTTCTATGCACGCCAGTTTAGTT